AGGTTCAGGAACAACTGAATCACCATCTGAAGGAACTGGGACAACCAGGTCATCTGCTAAAGGGACAGGGACAACTAGCCCAACAGGTGGAATGTCAGGAACCACAGCAGTATCACCTGTAGGATCAGGGACAACAGGAACATCAGAATCAGAAACAACTGAAACATCTGCTAAAGGGTCTCAAACACCTGAATCATCATCTGAAGCACCTGCAACAAGCAGGCCATCTGAGGGAGAGAAAGGAACCACTGGCCCAACAGGTGGAATGTCAGGAACCACTGGTGTGGCACCTGGGGAATTAGCAACAACTGGATCACCCTCTCAGGGTTCTGGGACACCAGAATCACCATCTAAAGGAACTGGGACAACCAGAACCCCAGCAGAAGGGAAAGGAACCATGGTCTCAATGGGTCACATGTCAGGAACTACTGGTGTAGCACCTGAAGGATCAGGGACAACTGGAACATCTTTCAGAGGTTCAGGAACAGGGGAGTCATCATCTGAAAGGCCAGGGACAACCAGGTCATCTGCTGAAGGGACAGGGACAACTGGCCCAACAGGTGGAATGTCAGGAACCACTGGTGTGGCACCTGGGGAATTTGCAACAACTGGATCACCTGCTCAGGGTTCTGGGACAACAGAATCACCATCTAAAGGAACTGGGACAACCAGAACCCCAACAGAAGAAAAAGGAACAACTGCTCCAATAGCTGAAATGCCAGGATCCACTGGTGTTACACCTGGAAGATCAGGGACAACTGGAACATCAGAATCTGGAACAACTGGGTCACCTGTTAAAAGTTCTAGAACAACTGAATCACCATCTAAAGGAATTGGGACAACCAGGACCCCAGCAGAAGGGAAAGGAACCACGGTCTCAATGGGTCACATGTCAGGAACTACTGGTGTAGCACCTGAAGGATCAGGGACAACTGGAACATCTTTCAGAGGTTCAGGAACAAGTGAATCATCATCTGAAGGAACTGGGACAACCAGGTCATCTCCTGGAGGGACAGGGACAACTGAATCACCATCTGAAGGAACTGGGACAACCAGAACCCCAGCAGAAGAGAAAGGAACAACTAATCAAACAGTTGAAATGCCAGGATCCACTGTTGTAACACCTGGAGAATCAGGGACAACTGGAACATCAGAATCAGAAACAACTGAAACATCTGCTAAAGGGTCTCAAACACCTGAATCATCATCTGAAGGACCTGTAACAAGCAGGCCATCTGAGGGAGGGACAGGAACCACTGGCCCAACTGGTGGAATGTCAGGAACCACTGGTGTGGCACCTGGGGAATTTGCAACAACTGGATCACCTGCTCAGGGTTCTGGGACAACAGAATCACCATCTAAAGGAACTGGGACAACCAGAACCCCAGCAGAAGTGAAAGGAACAACTGGTCCAACAACTGAAATGCCAGGATCCACTGGTGTAACCCCCCCAGGTTCAGGGACAACTGTAGGATCAGAATCTGGAGCCACTGGATCATCTGTTAAAGGTTCAGGAACTGAATCATCATCTGAAAAAACTACAACAACCAGACCATCAGCTGAAGGATCAGGGACAACTGGATTTGGAGCTGGTACCACTAGATCTACTCAAGGAAGATCTGGATCATCAACTGAAGTGGGAAGAACAACGATGATGCCAGGAAGTGATATTACCACATCTGGAGGTAAATCAATTTAGTCAAAAATAGACCTAAGAGTTTGGGTAATATGAGTTTTGGTCCAATAATTTGGAACTATACCTATAAATTTATCAGAATTAGACTATTTACTACTTGAATTTTTGAATAATATAGTAAATTTATAGAACATTATTGTTTTAAATTGATATTTCACACTTCTTAATAATTTGATGTTTCCATCCCCACTACATTTTTATTGACTAGATGCATTCAGAGAGTCAGGAGGAGCTACCACCCAGCCAAGCAGAGGAAGCACAGCTGGAGCAGGAGCCTCTGGGGCCACCTCTGCTGGGAACCAAGCAGGCAAGGCTCACCTGGGTGATACAGCACCCACATGCCTGACACCCAAATTGTGATGATGAGCTTAAGTTACTTACTAAAGCCTGAATTTTGGGAATAAAATTAAATTATAGTCTAGCTTTACTATTAACATTTAAAAATGAAATTTAGTTAAATGGATGTAAGTTTATTATTTTTACTAAAATGAATCATGTAAAGATAATAATCAATTGCCCCTTTACCCAGGCACAACTGAAGAATCATATGGAGAAACCACTGAAGCAGGCGAAAGCACAACCAGATTAACCACACCTGGTAACTCAGAAGAGTGGGAAGGGATGCTATTGGCTCAGGTTGTGGCTCAACATAAGGTTTTCTGACACATCTAATCATGAATATCAGTGTATTATAAATATAAAAATTAGAAAATCAGATCCAAGTTATCCAGTATTTAGAGCCTTATCTTTTAACTAGAGGCCTAGTGTATGCATTTGTGCATGAGTGGGGTCCCTCTGGATGGCCTTAAGGGATTGGCCTGAAACCCTCAGTCCAATGCTGCCTGCAGCTCCTACCTGCCGCTCCCACTCATTCCGGCCCCACTGTGCCTGCCGCTGGCTTGCACCCAATCAGTCCCAATCAGAAGAGGGTTGCACTGCTGCAACAGTGCTTGCCAACCATGAGCCTTGCATCTGGTGCCTTCCTAAGGGGAGTGGCCTGCAGGATCAGGCTGAAACCAGCTCTCCAACATCACCCGAGTGGTCCCAGATTGCTAGAGGGTGCAGGCCAGCCTGAAGGACCCTACCAGTGCATGATTGGGCTGGGGAAGGACCACGGGAGGGCTGCAGGGCATGTCCAGCCCATCTCTCTCAGTCCCAATAGGCTGGATCCCAGCAGCAAGCTAACCTACTGGTGGACAGGGCAGGTCATAGTGACTGGTCGACCGTCTGCCCCTTGGTGGTCAGTGCACATCATAGTCAGTGCACATCATAGTGAGCGGTAGAGCAGCCTTAGCATATCATTAGCATATTATACTTTGATTGGTTCGGTTGTTCTGCCATTTGGTCTATTTGCACATTACCCTTTTATTATATAGGATAGGTGCTTTCTCACCAGTACTGGAACTACAACACTCGAGCTCAAAGTAGTTACCGTGACAATGTCCAGGTTATATCCCCCCAAAATAAAAACACTGCTTGTGATTTTCCATTTTTAGTCTCAGGTTCCATAAGAAGCACCTCTGGCTCAACAATTCCATCAGAAAGTTCTACTGTAGGTAAGTAAACAGGGAATGCTAGATGTATGCTTTTTGTTTTCATGTTCTTTGGCTAGTTTCAAATGATAAAATAATTAATAAAAATACCAATTACATAATTAAAATCTCTTTAAATATATTATTTTGCTTAACTATTTGAATAAGGACAATTATGTCATTTTACTCATGAGGAACTTAAAAAAAAAGCCATTACCTAGGTTGGTCCAGGTTCCCCAGCCAATCAGCATGGAGCCCATGTTTTTATCCATTGCTTCCTGACTCCAGAGACTGATCTTCACATGTCATCCTCTAAGACAAATAAACAATGATCTTTAAAGTCCCATTAAGAAAAGCTTGCTTCTTATATGTACAAAACTTAAATTTTCCCCCTTTCTAACTATAATAACTGGAGCAACAGGTTTACAATTTTTTATACAAGAAAAATTGTGTCATTTGTTCCAAAACAGCAAGATTTGAGTCATTTTACTTGACAAAACTATAATTCTATTCTTTTATAAGTGAAAAGCTCATCACTTCCTTTCTTTTTTCAGTTATTCCAACCTGACATAAAATTTACAAATACTTATAGGACAATTTTTTCATAACAATACATGGACTAAATTATTCAAGGCTAGAGTACATTATTATTTAAGTTTCTGGACAAGTAATGTATCATAGTACTTGAGAAAGACATATCTCACTTTGTAAGTTATCTACTAGAACCTAAGATTTAGTGACTAAATTGTCTATTATTTAAGGAATAGATTGCTAATAATTTTTTTCTGGTAAAGATTTATGCAACATCTATTCTAACTACTGTTAAAAACGCCACTGGTGTAAATTTATTTTATAAACTAGCCACCAGGAAATAATTTATTCAAAAATTTGATTCAGACTAAATTCATAATTATTCTTTACTCATTCAATGGTTATATAAATGGAAATGAATTCACATGCTTATATTATTTATTGAGCACCAAGAGTATATTATAAACTAGTACCATGGCTACTAAGACATGTAACTATTAGGGCACAGTATGTATTTTATCTTTTGTACTGTTTGTAAATATTTTACTTGGGAAAAAGACAGTGGTTCTGTTTTCAGTTTGATAATTTATAACTTATAAATGATTTTTTACAAGAACACTTTACAGTTTTTTCCTCCAAGAGATCCCTCATCTTGACTTGAATTTTTAGGTAAACCCCTATGGAAATAACACTCCAGTTTTTTTAATAAAAAATTACATGTATTGGCTGTTGAAGCACTGAAGTGAATTTTTAAAATGCAATTCAGTAAGTATATTTTTAAATTGAAACATGAATTTAATCTTTCCTTTTTTAGGCCCAGAGAACAAAGTTCTACCAGAACTCATTGTAGGTAAGTTGAAATTAAAATGACAAAATACTATTTCTTCACAATGTAGTTTAAAATATTTCTATCTTTTCCATTTGAGCACTGAAAAATAACTGAGGGACTGTGATATTCTTTCTAAACTATAATTTAATATAAATTAATCTTTATGAATTGAGATAAATAAAAATGTACGTTTATATACATATATATATATATTGTGTTTTTAATTTTTAGTGCCACCAGGACAGGCTAAAGTAACAGGTAAGAAAATATAACTATATATATATATATATATATATATATATATATATATATGAAATTGTGTTACAGTAACTAGAATAGAAAATAAGATAGCAGAAGTCAATTTATCAGATTAATAAAACATAAACTTCAAATTAGAGTTTGGTAGCATAGAGCTTTTGTTTTTCCTGTTCTTATGCCTTCTGAAATAATAACAAAGGGGTATTGAATTTCTTACATAATATTTAAATTTTACATTGGTTGTGTGTAAACATACAAAATCAAGTAAATAAAGATAACTCTAGAAATATCCTCCTCAGTAAAAAAGAAAGTACCATACTTCTCAGTATATTAGCATTGTCACCTACCATTTTCATGAAAATTTTTAGCTTTTATGGCTTCCTGGTGTCTCTTTTAAGATTTAAGTTTTAAAAGATAAGCAAAAAAATAAGGTTGTTCTGTATAACATTTCACTTTTCTAAAAATTGTCCCCTTCTGCAGCCCGTTAGCATTTACATTCAGATACAAGCTCCATGAAGATCGATATTTTTGTCTTCTTTGTTCAATGATATAAAACCCCCTTTTGGTCCTTATGCGATGAGGTGTTTGGTTTCCACACTTGTCCATCTGATCCACTGAATTCTGACTTTGTTGAGTGGGCACCATGGGACATGCATCACTCAGTGTGCCATGCAGTGAGCTAAGAGATCTCTTAAAACAGCTATTTCCAACATAGGTGGAGTTGAAATATAAGAAAACCATCTCTATGGACACTATGGGAATTAAGAGGTTTATCGGCTTGCTGTGATAATATAATACAAAATACCTCTTTCCAACATCCCAGACACTCACAATGTTCTTGTCTATTTTCTCCCTCAGAGGCCACAACTACCAGAGGAGGTTCGGGCATCACTGGAAATGGATTCAGAACAGGTGAGAGGAAGCATCACATGCCTTCTGCTAACCACTAATTATGATGCTCATAGGAGAGCCAAGAGGGAGAAAGACTTTCTGGAGAGCTGTTCATATTTCCTTTATTAATACTGTATTTTGGGCCAACTGATCCTCTTTAAGTTTTAAAATTTTGTCCTGCAATGCTGCTAATAACAGAGTTCATAGTTATAGCTGTAATTCTTGAACATGGCATGATTGTCCAAATAGTTCTCAGTAATTTACTGATGTTATAAGACTTGAAGAGAAAAGTAAGAATATTTTCTATTCCTGAGAAGTAAAGAAGAGCTGCATAAACCCAGGAAACATGTCTGCCCCATATAGATGTTGGCCTTCCACACAAAAAAACAATGAATAGCACAATATTTTCTCAGTAGCTGTAATTTTCAGAACATTCATATCTTCTTCCGTTTCCATCCCCCAGCAGGTACCACTGTATCATCAGAAAGTGAAGTCACTGGGAAGAAAACAGGTGAGTGTGGGAGAAACCCAACCAGTTTACCAAAATAGAATGTTGCCAGGAGGTTGCCTCAGGTTGAGAACATTGTTCCTCTGAAAGTCTTGGGAAAATACATACAGCTCACCATCAAAGAAGAGGTAGACAGTGAGCCAGTTAGATTAAATGAAAATATAGTTAGGTTCTTTTTAGGTGCATGTTTTTTAAAAAATAAAACATGGTGACTACAGTTGAGTTGATTTTGTGTTTTAGGCACCACTGGGGTAACTCCTGGCACAACTGTTGCCCCAGGCAGTTCCAAAACAGGTGAGTCTACAATTTGAAATAGAATCTTCCTCACGTCTTCCCACAAATTAGATTTCCCCTCTGAGACTATTCATTGGAAGGTGTACCGTCGTATCTTCTCCATGATCCTGAAATATTCTTTAATCACTTCTTTCCTCATTCTCTCCCTCAGAGGCCACAACTTTCCTTGGGGAAAGTGAAACAACTACAGTTGGAGTAGAGACAGGTGAGTGCTCTAACTAATACCTGCATTTCATAAGAACATCTTAGAATAGTCTTCTGAAAATATATCTACACTATTGATATATGTTATGTCAAGCAATTTCAGACAAAAAGATAAGACAGTCCTTATATTGTTTATTGTTTACTGCTAGGACTTTCCTTGGGGAATACCTACATTTCATAGTAACTACTTTAAGAAATCTGCTGAAAATATATCTATACTATTTATGTATGTTATATTGAGTAATTTCTGAATTTGAACAAAGGCAAGCCAATCTTTATAGTGACCCCTTATTTCCCAGGCTCTCAAGGGCCTTTACTAGACCATCATGAAGTCGAACAAGTGATGGATAAATAGTTAAGTAGAGATTGAGTTTTCAGTTCCCCTCCAATAAAGAGATGTGACAGTTGAGGACTCAGTGAAATTGTTATAGAAAGAAATGTTACATGGGAGACCTATGGATGCCTTTTTGGCACTAAAGCTCACAGATATATAGTTTGCTGCTACATGGGGACTTTAGATTCCTATTTAAATCATGTAGTACACACACAATTGAGTTAAGAACCATTGACCCCTTCTTGTAGGTACTACTGGTATAGCCTCTGGAGAAACCCCGGGACCTGGAAGTTACATCACAGGTAAGTCTGCAAATACAAGTACAAACTGTTCATCAGCACCTTGGATAACATTCTGACAATAGCACAGTGTGGACTTTCCCACCACCTAGCCTTTACTCCTTTCCTTCTTTCCTCTGTCAAGGGCCACAACTTCCATGGGAAGAAGTAGGACCACACAAGGAGAATTTTTAGAAGCTGAACTTGTTAGTTGGAGGTGTTTTTGTTGTTGTTGTTGTTGTTGGTTTTTAAATCAAATCCCTGTTTATGTGGCTGTAGGGAACATAATGAGTGGGCAGCTGAGCTGAGGAAATGGGTTTGCATTTCCTCTGAGAACATAGCATGCTAGAGTCACAAATCTGGGTCACCCAGGAATTCCATTGCCTCACATGTTATTTCTAGAGGGCTAGGCTTCCAGAGCTGTTTGTTGTGTGGCAGGGATGAGGCCAATCTTCAGACCATCCCCTGCCTGCCAAGGCTGCAATACTTGTACATGGTTTGACATTTTCCCACAAAACTTGCTAAGGCCTACCTAGCTCACTGCCCTAGTTATCATGTTTAGTGTTTACTGCTGGACTCCAGCTGCTCAAATATAAGGCACATTAGGATAGGGATCTTAGAATATTCTACTCACCAATACATCCAAAGGCCTAAAACAACATTGCACAGTGGAATGAGGAAATGTGCACTTGTGTTGAAGCTTCACTCTACTTGCTTTAATAGGTAGCACCACGCTTTCACCTGGAGCCAGCAGCAGCTCACAGAAAACCAAACCAGGTAGGATACACTAAATAAATTTTCTTAGGAGAGTAGTAGAGTCACAGATTTCTCTTAAACATCAGAATATCAAAATACCTCAAGCAATTGATGAGTAACATTTAGAAAGTTGAATCCATTATCTGCCTCTTTTCTCCGTTAGGCACCTCTGCCACACCAGGGAGCCCAGAGACTGGAAGTGAAACAGGTGAGGGTGACATAGGACTCCTTTCACTTTCACTGGGATGTGTGGAAAGGGAAACTCTGGTAGAAACAATGATTAGTAGGTTGTTCAGGATAGAAAGTTGTAGTGGGTCACTGATGGCTTGTTATTTCTGAAATAGAAGTCTCAGGCATGGCTGTCTAGGAGTTCAAGGCCATGGAGTTAATGTAGTTTGAAGGAGAGAGCTAATGCTGTGCTGATGCCTTTATATTTCTCATATTTAGGTGCTACACAGGGACTCACTAGGACAACCAGTGTATCTGAAGGTTCCAACACAGGTGGGTTAACAAGAAGTCTCCATATATAAACTCATAATGTAGTTAGTAGACGTGCTCTGATTTAAAAAAATCACATAATTCTCTTCTCATATCTCAAATCCTTTATCATTTTCTTCCTTCAGAGGCCACAACGTTAACAGAAAGCAGTGGCACTTCTGGAACTGGATTCAGAACTGGTGAGAAAGAGTTCCAGCAGTTGGGGTTTACTATTAATGGTGACTCTTCTTAGTCTGGCCTGCTGGGAGGGGTGCTTTCCTGCAGAGTGGTTTGCACGTGTCTCAATACTGGCTTCTAGTCTCACGTGTATAACTTTGTACAGAAGGGCTGGTGGTAAAATCGGTATGGGAGGTTTAACTTGTGATGGCATACACATCACTAAGCAAATATTTATGAAGGGAATCATCCTGGATGAGGCCCAGAAATCAAAATTTTAAAAAGATTCCCAGGTGATTCTAATGTGCAGCCAAGATTGAGAACCACTGCATTAAGAGATCTTTGAATATTCTGCTTACTGATATATCCAAAAGCCAAAACAATATTGGACAAAAGACTTGCTTAAAAAATGTCAGTGGAATGATGAAACATATGCTTATGTTGAAGCTTCACTCTACTTGCATTGATAGGTACCACCACACTTTCACCTGGAGCCAGCAGCAGTTCGCAGAAAACCAAGCCAGGTAGGTAGGATAGACCAAATAAATTCATCATATGAGAGTATTAGGACCACAGAATTCCAATTTAAACATCAGAATATCAAAATACCTGAAATAATTGATAAATAACATTTAAAAACATAACCCCATCATCAATCTTTTCCCTCCTTTAGGCACCACTGTCACACCTGGAAGTTCGGGGACTGGAAGTGAACCAGGTGAGGTGTCTTAAGATTTCCTTCCATTAATGGGGGGATAAGGACACATATGTAATACCTTAATCAATACAGAAATTTAAAAAAAAAAGATTTCCTTCCACATTCAGTGGGATCTAAGGAAAAGGGAACTCCAGTAGGAACAATAATTAGAAACTCGGTCAAAAGAGGAAGTTATGGAAAGTCATTGATGGCTCATTTCTTTCAGAATTAGAGGTCTCAGGTAAGGTCTTCTAGAAGTTCAAGGCTGCATAGGTGCTTCAGGATGAGGGGTATCTAATACTGTGTTGAAGTCTTTATCTTTCTAATTTTTAGATGCTACATGGGAATTCTCTAGGATAAGCCTTATATTCTTTCTTGTTTCAGGTACTACTGGTATAGTCTCTGGAAAAACTCCGGAACCTGGACCTTACACCACAGGTTAGTCTGGAACTACATGTAAAAGCTGGACATTAGCTCCTTGGATGATATATTTTGAGTAGCACAGTGTGGACTTTTCCACCAACTAGTCTTTACTCCTTTCTTTTCTTTATCAGAGGCCACAACTTCCATGGGAGGAAGTGGGACCACCCAAGCAGGACTTCTGGAAGGTGAGCTTTTTAATGCTAATTAATCTCTAGAATGAACACAGGGGGGGCAGGTGCACTGAGGAAATCTGCCTTCATTTGTTTGGGAACACAATATGCCAGATTCAAACACCATAGTTGACCTTGGAATTCCATGGCCTCACATATACCCATCTGGATTTTCAGAGGCCCAAGCTTGCAATCTAGTTGTTGGATGGTAGGGATGAGGCCCATCTGTGGACCAGTCCCTGCCTACAAAGGCCCCAGTACTCATATTTGGATTAGCATTTTTCCATAGCACTTAATTGACATCTGCCCCATTGACCATTTCATTGTGTTTATTGTTTACTGCTATCCTTCAATTGATAGAATATAAGGCACATTAGGGGAGGGATCTTTGGTTATAGTGCTCACGGTTACATTCAAATGCCTTACACAAAATTGCACAGAAGACTTAATAAGTATCAATGGAACATGAAACTTAATCTTATGTTAAAGCTTCACTCTACTTGTGTTAATAGGTACCACAACACTTTCACCTGGAGCCACCAGCAGTTCACAGAAAACCAAGCCAGGTAGGGTCACTAAGTAAATTCACCATAGGAGAGTATTAGAGTCACAAAGATCTACTTTAAACCTTGGAATGTAAAAAACTCTCAGGTAATTGATAACTAACTTTTACAAAGATGACAACACCATGTGTCCTTTTCTTCCTTTAGGCACCTCTGTGGCACCAGGGAGTCCAGGGACTGGAAGTGAAACAGGTGAGGGTGACATAAGACCTCCTTTCTCTTTCGCTGGCATCAATAAAAAGGAAACTCCAGTAGCAACAATGATCCACAGGTGGGGCAGGAAAGGACATTGTGGAAAGTTATGGACAGTTAGTTATGTTCCCTCTGACACAGAGATCCTAAGGATAGGTCTTCTGGTCATTCAAGGACACACAGCTGCTTCAGTACTGAAGAGGGAGCTAATGCTTCATTGATGCCTTTATCTTTCTCATCTTTAGGTTCTACACAGGAATTCCCCAGGACAACAATCATACCTGGGAGTTCCCACACAGGTAGGTTAACACGAAGAAATCTCCATATTTAAAACCATAATATAGATATTAGGTCTGCTCTGATAAAATATCAAATAATCCTTTTCCTAATATTCCAATTCCCCTGACCTCACCCTGCACTAATTTCTTCCATCAGAGGCCACAACGGTAACAGAAAGCAGTGGCACTTCTGGAAGTGGATTCAGAGGTGGTGAGTAAGAGTTCCTGCAGCTGGGAGTTTAATATTAACTGTGACTATTGTTACCCTGGCCTGCAGGGAGGTATGCTTTCCTGCAGAGTGGATCACACATGCTGCCAGTTCGTAGATGTAACATATCCTGGAAAAGCTCTCAATACTGGCTTCTAATTGTTCCAGTTGTAACTTTCTAAAGTGGGGCTGGTGTTAGAATCAATATAAGAAGTTTATCCTGTGATGGCATACACATCACTAAGATGTTAGGAGAAGCTCAGAAATATTATGTATCTGAGAAGGAGCCAAAACAATGAGAACTCTTAAACAGGCCTATTGAGGGAAATTCTCTAGGCCAACTATTATACCTGGGAGTTCCCACACAGATAGGATAACAAGAAGAAATCTTCATATTTAACCCCATACTGTAGTTAGTATTCTTGTTCTGATCTAATCTGTCAATAATTTTTTCTGTAATATCCCAAATCCTCTGACCTTACCATTCATCATTTCTTCCTTCAGCTGGCACTCCTGGAACAGGATCCAGACCCGGTGAGAATGAGTACCTCACAGTTGGGGTTTACCATTAATTATGACCCTCCACAAGCTCCCATTTTGGAGGTGTTCTTTCCTGCAGAGTTGTTTGTATTTACTCAGTATTTTCTTTGATTTAACATATTATTAATACACTTTCAATGCCTGCTCATGCCTCACAGCTGTAACTTCCTTACGAATGGCTATTGGTGAAATCCCTGTAAGAGGTTTCCTCTTTGATGGCATATACATCACCAAGATGATAGAAGACCCGAGAATATTCTATATGTGGGTAGAAGAGAAAGCAATGTGAACTCTTAAGCCTATGCTACATATAGGTCCTCTTGCTCAAAAGTGCAATAAGGATAGTCAGTAGTTTTTGACACATTCAAACAGTTTTCTGGTTTTCCTCTCACATTAGGCGCCACTGCAGTGCCACAAGGCCAAGCAACTGGGAGTGTGACAGGTGAGCCTGGGAGAAACCCAGATTTGTCTTCATTTTAAGAGATTAGAATGTCTGTAGAGAGTGCCTTACATTGGAAATATTGCAATTTTTACTACTTTCTTAATGATATAGATTATAGGAAAGGTATATTACTGTCAACTCATCAGGAAGTAGTGAAAGGGCCCTTTGATATAACAAAGATACACTTAGATTCCTTCTAGAGGCAGGTCTTTAGGAGCTGTATAGGAATCACCAAGATTCGCCATTGAAATCTCAGAACTTTTGTGTTTCAGGCACCACTGGACCAGTTGTTGGCACAACTGTTGTACCTGGCAGTTCCAACACAGGTAAGTCAACAAGGTGGCAGGGAATATTTCAGATGAGATTTCTCTTCTATTGTTATCCTGTGTAGCAGAACTACCGTACCTTTCTGTGGTCCTCAAATAATTTTCAATGATCTCTAACCTCTTTTCCTCTATAGTGGAGGATAGGGCTTCTGTAGAAGATGGTGGAATAACAAGAGGTTGTTTGTTTGTTTTTTCCCTTCTCTTAGAAACCACAACTTCCACAGGAGGTAGTAAGGCTACGCATGGAAGATTGCCAGGAGGTAAGCTTCTTAGTCCAAAGCCTAGGAAATTGATGACAAACTTTTACAAAGATTAAGCATCATCTGCCTTTTTCTTCCTTTAGGCACCTCTGTCACACCTGGGAGTCCAGGGACTGGAAGTGGAACAGGTGAGGGTGACATAAGACCTCCTTTCTTTTTCACTAGGATCTTGGAAAAGGGTACTCCAGTAGCAACAAAGATCCATAGGTTGGCAAGGAAGGACATTGGGTAAAGTTATGGACAGTTAGGTTCCCTCTGAAACAGAGATCCTAAGAAAAGGTCTTCTGGTCATTCAATGACACACAGCTGCTTCAGTGCTGAAGAGGGAGCTAATGCTGTGTTGATGGCTTTATCTTTCTCATTTTAAAGTCCTACACAGGAATTCACTAGGAAAATCATTATATCTGGGGGTTCCCACGCAGATAGGTTCACAAGAAGAAATCTCAACATTTAAACCCAATATCATTATGTCTCCACTGATAAAATATCAACATAATTCTTCTCTCATATCCCAAATCCTCATTCCTCACCCTTCACCATTTTCCTCTTTCAGAGGCTACAACTTCAACAGAAGGCAGTGGCACATCTGGAAATGGATTGAGAACAGGTGAGGAAAAGTTTCCGCAGTTGGGATTTACCATTAATGATGGCTCTGCTTAGCCAGGCTGCTGGGAGGGGTGCTTTCCTGCAGAATGGTTCTCATTTGCTTCCAGTTCTTAGATTTACAATATTTTGGAAAACTCTCAATATTAGCTTCCAGTCTTACAGGTGTAACTATGTAAGGAAAGGCTGGTGGTCAAATCAGTATGAGAGATTAAACTTGTGATGGCACAGACATCACTAGGATGTCAGTGTGAGATGAGAAATATTATCTATATGAGGAGAGGGAAAAGCAATGTGAACTCTTAAACAGGCGTATCCTATGCACAGGGGTTCTTGCTCAAAATGCCAATAATTATATCAATAGTTTTCTGGGACATTGAAATATTTTCCTGTTTATCCTTGTATGGTAGGCACCACTGTGAGGATGAGAGATGAATGTAGGAGAAAGGCCCCTCTTTAACCATATTGACTGAATGGAATTTCTGGGACAGTTTCTCATGCTGAGAACATTACTGTTTTTATTGCTTTCTTACTGATGTTGGTCATATTAAAACCAGATTCTCACCTCATCAGGAAGTAGAGACAGGGCCCTTTGCTATAACAAAGATACACCTAGATCCCTTCTGGAGGGAGGACGTCAGGAGATGGACAGGACACCTGTTGATGATCTGAAACCTTTTATGTTTCGGGCACCACTGGAATAGCCCTTGGAACAGCTGTTGCTCCTGGCACTTCCAAATAGGGAAGGCAACAGGGTGACATAGGATTTTCTCATGCACTCTCACAGGTTAGTTGTCTGCACTGATATTATTCATTGCGGGACTATCACCATGTATTTTCAATGATCCTGAAATATTCTTTCATTACCTCTTTTCTACCCTATTTCCCCCAGTAGCCACAACATTCAAAGTGGCACAACTAGAATTGGAATAGACACAGGGGAGTGCTACTAAGCTAACACCTACATATCATAATAACCTTCTTAAAGCAGTCTTCTAAAAGTTCTACACTATTTATATATGTTACTGTTGGGAAAGTTCAGATTTTAAAAAGATAAGCTACACATTACATTGCCTTCTTATTGCCTAAGCTTACAAGGGCCTTCAGTAGACAACCATGAGTCTAACTAATGACCAATAAATAGGTAGCATATAGAGAGATATTTCTCTCTTCCTGCTATAAAAGGAGACATGATAGTTGAGAACTCAGTAAAATAGTTATAGAAAAAAAATGTTGCATGGGGCACTTTGGATGACTTCTTGGCAGTAAAAGTGACAGGGTTGTAGTTTTCTATTACATGAAGATGTATATTTTTATTTAAATCACGCGATGAGAAAAAAATTGAGCTAGGATCACCACGATTTTCTTCTTGTAAGTAATACTGATAAAGTTCTGGAAAACCTCTTGAACAAGGAAGATATGTCACAGGCAAATCTGGAAATACAGGAAAAACATGACATTGGCGGCTTGTATGATGTATTCTGACAATAGCCAAGTGTGTACTTTCCCACAACCCAGTCTTACTCCTTCCCTTCTTTTCTCTATCAGAGGCCACTACTTCCACAGAAGGAAGTGGGACTACCCAAGCAGGACTTGTAGGAGGTGAGGTTTATTTTAAACTGATTCTCTGGCTTTTTGAATCAAATCCCTGTTGTGTGGTGGAGTAAACATTTGAGGGGAAGGTGGGCAAAGGAAATGGGCCTGTATTTCCTGGGGGAACACAGCATACCAGATTCACAAACTTACATAAGCCTGAAAACAATATTCTCATATTTCCCCATCTAAATTGCAAGGCCCAGGCCTACAGAGCTAGTTCTTTCATTGACAGGTATGAGGCCACCCTGTGGCCCTGCTCCTGCCTATCACGGCCCCAACTTTTATATATGGTTTCACATTTTCTTATAGCCTTTACTAACATCTGTCACTTTGAATTAATCATGTTTGTTCATCACTGTTGGTCTCCACTTGCTAAAATGTAAGCTACGTTGGGGGAGGGATCTTTGAATATTCTGCTCACTGACATATCCAAACGCCTAAAACATTGTTACACACAAAAGATGCTTATAAATATTTGTGTAATAGTGAAATGTGTATTTATTTTGAAGTTCACACTACTTGTGTTAATAGGTACCACAACACTTTCACCTGGAGCGAGCAGCAGTTCACAGAAAACCAAGCCAGGTAGGGTCACTAAGTAAATTCACCATAGGAGAGTATTAGAGTCAGGAAGTTCTACTATAAACCTTGGAATGTCAAGAACCCTCAGATAATTGATAAATAACTATTACAAAGATGAAGACACCATGGGCCCTTCTTTCCCTTTTAGGTACCTCTGTCGCACCAGGGAGTCCTGGGACCGGAACTGAGACAGGTGAGGGTGACATAAAGACTTCTTTCACTTTACTAGGACCTATGTGAAAAAGAACTCCAGTAGCAACAATGTTATATAGGTGGTCAGGAGATGAAATTGTGGAAAGTCATTGACAGTTCATGGCCTTCTGAAACAGAAATCCTAAGGAAAGGTGTTCTGGTCATTCAAGGACACAAAGCTTTTTCAGTACCAAAGAGGGAGCTAATGCTGTGTTGATGGCTTTATCTTTGTCATATTTAGGTGCTAAACAGGAATTCACTAAGACGATCATTATATCTAGGAGTCCCCACACAGATAGGTTCACAGGAAGCAATCTCCATATTTAAACCCAATAACATTATGTCTCCACTGATACAATATCAACATGATTCTCTCATACCTCAAATCCTCACTCCTCACCCTTCACCATTTTCTTCCTTCAGCGGCTACAACATCAACAGAAGGCAGTGGCACATCTGGAACTGGATTCAGAACTGGTGAGAAAGAGTTTCTGCAGTTGGGGGTTTACCATTAATGATGGCTCTTCTTAGCCTGGCCGCTGGGAGAGGTGCTTTCCTGCAGAGTGGTTCTCATTTGCTTCCAGTTCTTCTTAGATTTACCATATTTTGGAAAACTCTCAATATTGGCTTCTAGTCTTACAAGTGTAACTTTGTAAGGAAAGGCTGGTGGTGAAATCAGTATGAGAGATTAAACTTGTGATGGCATAGACAGCATTAGGATGTCAGTGTGAGATAAGAAATATATATCTGAGGAAAGGGAAAAGCAATGTGAACTTAAACGGGCATATCCTAAGCAAAGAGGTTATTGCTCAAAATGCCAATAATGATATCAGTATTTTTCTGGGACTTTGAACTACTTTTCTGGTTATCCTTGCAGGGTAGGCACTCTGTGAGGATGAGACATGAACCCCTATTTAGGAGAAAGGCCACCCATTAACCATATTTGACTGAATGGATTTCTGGGACAGTTTCTAATGCTGAGAATGTTACTGTTTTTATTGCTTTCTTACTGATATTGGTCATAGCAAAAACAGATTCTCGCCTCATCAGGAAGTAGAGACAGGGCCTTTTGCTATAGCAAAGATATACCTGGAGCCCTTCTGTAGGCAGGAGGTCAGGAGATGGACAGGACACATGTTGAAGATCTCAAACCTTTTGTGTTTCGGGCACCACTGGAATAGCCCTTGACACAGCTATTGCTCCTGGCACTTCCAACATAGTGTAGGCAACAGGGTGACATAGGAATTTCTCATGCCCCCTCACAGGTTAGTTGTCTGCACTGATATTATTCATTGCGGGACTACTACCATGTATTTTCAGAGATCCTGAAATATTCTTTAATTTCCGCTTTTCCACCCTATTCCCCCCCGTGGCCACAACATTCAAAGTGGCACAACTAGAATCTTAACAGACACAGGGGAGTGGTGCTGAGCTAACACCTGCATTTCATGATAACCTGCTTAAAGCAGTCTCCCCAAAATTTTTGACACTATTTATATATGTTATGTTGTGAAAGTTCAGGTTTTTAAAAGATAAGCTAGATATTACATTGCCACCTTATTGCCAGATCTTACAAGGGCCTTCAGTAGACAACCATGAGTCTCAAGAATGACAAATAAATAGGTAGTATAGAGAGAGATATTTCTCTCTTCCCGCTATAAAAAGAGACATGATAGTTCAGAACTCAATAAAATGGTCATAGCAAAAAATGTTACGTTGGGGCACATAAGGATGAATTCTTATCAGTAAATGTCACAGGATTACAGTTTGATATTACAAGAAGATGTAGATTTTATTAAAATCATGTGGTAAAAAAACAATTGAGCTAGGACCACCACTATTTTTTTCTTGTAAGTAATACTGATAAAGTCTCTGGAAAACCTCTTGAACCTGGAAGATATGTCACAGGCAATTCTGAAAATAAAGTAAAAACATGACATTGGCGGCTTGTATGATCTATTCTGACAATAGCCAAGTGTGTTCTTTCCCACCACCTAGTGTTACTCCTTCCCTTCTTTTCTCTATCAGAGGCCACTACTTCCACGGAAGAAAGTGGGACTACCCAAGCAGGACTTGTAGGAGGTGAGTTTTATTTTAAACTGAATCTCTGGGGTTTTGAATCAAATCCCTGTTTGTCTGTAGAATAAGCACTTGAGTGGGAAGGTGGGTGAAGGAAATTGGCCTGTATTTCCTCTGGGAAGACAGCATGCCAGAGTCACAAACTTACAAAAGCCTGAAAACAATATTCTCATATTTCCCCATCTAAATTGCAAGGCCCAGGCCTACAGAGCTAGTTCTTTCATTGACAGGTATGAGGTTACCATGTGGCCCTGCTCCTGCCTATCAAGGCCTCAATTTTTATATATGGTTTGACATTATCTTATAGCCTTTACTAACATCTGTCACTTTTACTTTTCATGTTTGTTGATCACTGTTGGTGTCCAGCTGGTAGAATGTTAGCTACATTAGGGGAGGTTTCTTTGAATATTCTGCTCACTGACATATCCAAATGCCTAAAACATTATTACATAGAAAAGATGCTTAATAAATTTTTGTGGAATCATGAAATGTGTATTTATTTTGATGCTCACAATACTTGCTTTAATAGGTACCACAACACTTTCACCTGGAGCCAGCAGCAGTTCACAGACAACCAAGCCAGGTAGGCCACTAAGGAAATTCAACATAGGAGAGTATTAGAGTCACACATTTCTACTTTAAACCTTGCAGTGTCAAAAGCCTTCAGGTAATTGATGACAAACTTTTACAAAGATGAAGCATCATCTGCCTTTTTCTTCCTTTAGGCACCTCTGTCACACCAGGGAATCCAGGGACTGGAAGTGAAACAGGTGAGGGTGACATAAGACCTCCTTTCTCTTTCCCTGGCATCAATAAAATAGGAAACTCCAGTAGCAACAATGATCCATAGGTGGGGCAGGGAAGGACATTGTGGAAAGTTATGGACAGTTAGTTAAGTTCCTTCTGAAACAGAAATCCTAAGGATAAGTCTTCTGGTCATTCAAGGACACACAGCTGCTTCAGTACTGAAGAGGGAGCTAATGCTTCCTTGATGCCTTTATATTTCTCATCTTTAGGTGCTACACAGGAATTCCCCAGGACAACCATTATACCTGGGAGCTCCCACACAATAGGTTAACATGAAGAAATCTCCATATTTGAAACCATAATATAGATATTAAGTCTGCTCTGATAAAATATCAAATAATCCTTTTCCTAATATTCCAATTCCTCTGACCTCACCCTGCACTAATTTCTTCCATCAGAGGCCACAACCTTAACAGAAAGCAGTGGCACTTCTGGAAGTGGATTCAGAGGTGGTGAGTAAGAGCTCCTGCAGCTGGGAGTTTAATGTTAACTATGACTATTGTTACCCTGGCCTGCTGGGAGGTGTGCTTTCCTGCAGAGTGGATCACACATGCTGCCAGTTCTTAGATGTAACATATTTTGGAAAAGCTCTCAACACTGGCTTCTAGTTGTTCCAGTTGTAACTTTCTAAAGTGGGGCTGGAGTTAGAATCAATATGAGAATTTTATCCTGTGATGGCATACACATCACTAAGATGTTAGGAGAAGCTGAGAAATATTATGTATCTGAGAAGGAGCCAAAACAATGAGAACTCTTAAACAGGCCTATCGAGTGAAATTCTCTAGGCCAACTATTATACCTGGGAGTTCCCACACAGGTAGGGTAACAAGAAGAAATCTTCATATTTAACCCATACTGTAGTTAGTATTCTTGTTCTGATCTAATAGGTCAATAATTTTTTCCGTAAAATCCCAAATCCTCTGACCTTACCATTCATCATTTCTTCCTTCAGCTGGCACTCCTGGAACAGGATCCAGACCCGGTGAGAATGAGTACCTCACAGTTGGGGTTTACCATTAATTATGACCCTCCACAAGCTCCCATTTTGGAGGTGTTCTTTCCTGCAGATTAGTTTGTATTTACTCAAAATTTTCTTTGATTTAACATATTTTTAATACACTTTAAATGCCTGCTCATGCCTCACAGCTGTAACTTCCTTACGAATGGCTATTGGTGAAATCCCTGTAAGAGATTTTCTCTTTGATGGCATATACATCACTAAGATGATAGAAGACCCGAGAATATTCTATATGTGGGTAGAAGAGAAAGCAATGTGAACTCTTAAGCCTATGCTACATATAGGTCCTCTTGCTCAAAAGTGCAATAATGATAGTCAGTAGTTTTTTGACACACTCAAATAGTTTTCTGGTTTTCCTCTCACATTAGGCGCCACTGCAATGCCACAAGGCCAAGCAACTGGGAGTATGACAGGTGAGCCTGGGAGAAACCCAGCTTTTGTCTTCATTTTAAGAGAATGGAATGTCTGGAGAGAGTGCCTTACATTGGAAATATTGCAATTTTTAAAACTTTCTTAGTGATATGGATTATAAGAAAGGTATATTATTTTCAACTCATTAGAAAGTTGTGAAAGGGCCCTTTGATATAACAAAGATACACTTAGATTCCTTCTAGAGGCAGCTCTTTAGGTGCTGTATAGGAGTCACCAAGATTCGCCTTTGAAATCTCAGAACTTTTGTGTTTCAGGCACCACCGGCCCAGCTGTTGGCACAACTGTTGCACCTGGCAGTTCCAACACAGGTAAGTCAACAAGGTGGCAGGGAAGCTTTCAGATGAGATTTCTCTTTTATTGATATCCTGTGTAGCAGAACTACCCTACCTTTCTGTGATCCTCAAATAATTTTCAATGATCTCTAACCTCTTTTCCTCTATATTGGGGGCCAGGACTTCTGTAGAAGATGGTGGAATAACAAGAGGTTGTTTGATTGTTTTTTCCCTTCTCTTAGAAACCACAACTTCCACAGGAGGCAGTAAGGCTACTCAGGGAAGATTGCCAGGAGGTAAGCTTCTTAGTCCAAAGCCTAGGAAATTGATGACAAACTTTTACAAAGATGAAGCATCATCTGCATTTTTCTTCCTTTAGGCACCTCTGTCACACCTGGGAGTCCAGGGACTGGAAGTGGAACAGGTGAGGGTGACATAAGACCTCCTTTCTTTTTCACTAGGATCTTGGAAAAGGGAACTCCAGTAGCAACAATGATCCATAGGTGGGCAAGGAAGGACATTGCATAAATTTATGGACAATTAGGTTCCCTCAAAAACAGAGATCCTAGGAAAGGTCTTCTGGTCATTCAAGGACACAGAGCTGCTTCAGTACTGCAGAGGGAGCTAATGCTGTGTTGATGGCTTTATCTTTCTCATTTTAAAGTCCTACACAGGAATTCACTAGTACAATCATTATATCCGGGGTTCCTCTCACAGAGAGGTTCACAAGAAGAAATCTCCATATTTAAACCCAGTATCATTATGTCTCCACTGATACAATATCAACATAATTCTTCTCTCATATCACAAATCCTCCTTCCTCACCCTTCACCATTTTCCTCTTTCAGAGTCTATAACGTCAACAGAAGGCAGTGGCACATCTGGAACTGGATTCAGAACTGGTAAGAAAGAGTTTCCACAATTGGGGTTTACCATTAATGATGGCTCTTCTTAGCCTGGCAGCTGGGAGGGGTGCTTTCCTGCAGAGTGGTTCTCATTTGCTTCCAGTTCTTAGATTTACCATATTTTGGAAAACTCTCAATATTGGCTTCCTGTCTTACAGTGTAACTTTGTAAGGAAAGGCAGTGGTGAAATCAGTATGAGAGATTAAACTTGTGATGGCACAGACATCACTAGGATGTCAGTGTGAGATGAGAAATATTATATGAATGAGGAGAGGGAAAAGCAATGTGAACTCTTAAATAGGCATATCCTATGCACGGGGGTTCTCGCTCAAAATGCCAATAATTAAAACAATATTTTTCTGGGACATTGAAATATTTTCCTGTTTATCCTTGTATGGTAGGCACCACTGTGAGGATGAGAGATGAATGTAGGGAGAAAGGTGCCTCTTTAACCATATTTGACTGAATGGAATTTCTGGGACAGTTTCTCATGCTGAGAACATTACTGTTTTTATTGCTTCCTTCCTGATGTTGGTCATATTAAAACCAGATTCCCACCTCATCAGGAAGTAGAGTCAGGGCCCTTTGCTCTAACAAAGATACACCTAGAGCCCTTCTGGAGGGAGGATGTCAGGAGATGGACAGGACACATGTTGATGATCTCAGACCCTTTATGTTCGGGCACCACTGGAATAGCCCTTGGCACAGCTGTTGCTCCTGGCACTTCCATATAGGGAAGGCAATAGGGTGACATAGGATTTTCTCATGCCCTCTCACAGGTTAGTTGTCTGCACTGATATTATTCATTGTGGGACTACCACCTTGTATTTTCAATGATCCTGAAATATTCTTTCATTACCTCTTTTCCACCCTATTTCCCCCAGTGGCCACAACATTCAAAGTGGTACAACTAGAATTGGAATAGACACAGGGGAGTGGTGCTGAGCTAACACCTGCATTTCATGATAACCTGCTTAAAGCAGTCTCCCAAAAATGTTTGACACTATTTATATATGTTATGTTGTGAAAGTTCAGGCTTTTAAAAGATAAGCTAGACATTACACTGCCACCTTATTGCATGAGCTTAGGAGGGCCTTCAGTAGACAACCATGAGTCTAAACAATGACCAATAAATAGGTAGTATAGAGAGAGATATTTCTCTCTTCCCACTATAAAAAGAGACATGATAGTTGAGAACTCAGTAAAATGGTTATAGGAAAAAATGTTATGTGGGGCACACAAGGATAAATTCTTATCACTAAAAGTCACAGGGTTATAGTATGGTATTACATGAAGATGTAGATTATTATTTAAATCATGCGGTGAAAAAACAATTGAGCTAGGACCACCACTATTTTCTTCTTGTAAGTAATACTGATAAAGATCAGCTGGACATTACATTGCCTCCTAATGGCCTGATCTTGCAAGGGCCTTCAGTAGACAACCATGAGTCTATTCCATGACCAATACATAGGTGGTATATAGAGAGAGATTTCTATGTTCCCTCCATGAAAAGAGACATGATAGTTGAGAACTCAGTAAAATGGTTATAGAAAAAAAAATGTTGCATGGGGCACTTTGGATGACTTCTTGGCAGTAAAAGTGACAGGGTTATAGTTTGCTATTACATGAAGATGTATGTTTTTATTTGAATCATGTGGTGAAAAAACAATTGAGCTGGGATCACCATCATTTTCTTTTTGTAAGTAATACTGATAAATTCTCTGGAAAATCTCTTGAACCTGGAAGATATGTCACAGGCAAATCTGAAAATATAGTAATACTTGACATTGGCAGCTTGTATGATCTATTCTGACAATAGCCAAGTGTATCGTTTCCCACCACCTAGTATTACTCCTTCCCTTCTTTTCTCTATCAGAGGCCACTACTTCCACGGAAGGAAGTGGGACTACCCAAGCAGGACTTGTAGGAGGTGAGTTTTATTTTAAACTGAATCTCTGGGGTTTTGAATCAACTCCCTGTTTGTCTGTAGAGAAACACTTGAGTGGGAAGATGGGGGAAGGAAATGGGCCTGTATTTCCTCTGGACACACAGCATGCCAGAGTCACAAACTAAGATAAGCCTGAAAACCATATTCTCATATTCCCCATCTAAATTGCAAGGAACAGGCCTACAGAGCTAGTTCTTTGATTTGCAGGTATTAGGCCACCCTGTGGCCGTGCTCCTGCCTATCAAGGCCTCAACCTTTATATATGGTTGGACATTTTCTTACAGCCTTTACTAACATCTGTCACTTTGACTTATCCTGTTTGTTGATCACTGTTGGTCTCCAGCTGCTAGAATGTAAGCCACATTAGGGGAGGGATCTTTCAATATTCTGTTCACTGATATATTCAAATGCCTAAAATATTATTACACAGAAAAGATGCTTAATAAATATTTGTGGAATCATGAAATGTGTATTTATTTTGAAGCTCACACTTCTTGCTTTAATAGGTACCACAACACTTTCACCTGGAGCCAGCAGCAGTTCACAGACAACCAAGCCAGGTAGGGTCACTAAGGAAATTCACCATAGGAGAGTATTAGAGTCACACATTTCTACTTTAAACCTTGCAGTGTCAAAAGCCTTCATGTAATTGATGATGAACTTTTACAAAGATGAAGCATCTTCTGCCTTTTTCTTCCTTTAGGCACCTCTGTGACACCTGGGAGTCCAGGGACTGGAAGTGAAACAGGTGAGGGTGACATAAGACCTCCTTTCTCTTTCCCTGGCGCCAAAAAAAGAGGAAACTCCAGTAGCTACAATGATCCACAGGTGGGGCAGGGAAGGACATTGTGGAAAGTTATGGACAGTTAGTTAACTTCCCTCTGAAACAGAGATCCTAAGGATAGGTCTTCTGGTCATTCAAGGACACACAGCTACTTCAGTACTGAAGAGGGAGCTATGCTTCCTTGAGGCCTTTATCTTTCTCATCTTTAGGTGCTACACAGGAATTCCCCAGGACAACCATTATACCTGGGAGTTCCCACACGTATAGGTTAACAAGAAGAAATCTCCATATTTGAAACCATAATATAGATATTAGGTCTGCTCTGATAAAATATCAAATAATCTTTTTCCTAATATTCCAATTCCCCTGACCTCACCCTGCACTAATTTCTTCCATCAGAGGCCACAACGGTAACAGAAAGCAGTGGTACTTCTGGAAGTGGATTCAGAGGTGGTGAGTAAGAGCTCCTGCAGCTGGGAGTTTAATATTAACTATGACTATTGTTACCCTGGCCTGCTGGGAGGTGTGCTTTCCTGCAGAGTGGATCACACATGCTGCCAGTTCTTAGATGTAACATATTGTGGAAAAGCTCTCAACACTGGCTTCTAGTTGTTCCCGTTATAACTTTCTAAAGTGGGGCTGGAGTTAGAATCAATATGAGAAGTTTATCCTGTGATGGCATACACAACACTAAGATGGTAGGAGTAGCTGAGAAATATTATGTATCTGGGAAGGAGCCAAAACTATTAGAACTCTTAAACAGGCCTATTGAGGGAAATTCTCTAGGCCAACTATTACACCTGGGAGTTCCCACACAGATAGGATAACAAGAAGAAATTTTCATATTTAACCCCACACTGTAGTTAGTATTCTTGTTCTGATCTAATCTGTCAATAATTTTTTCCGTAAAATCCCAAATCCTCTGACCTTACCATTCATCATTTCTTCCTTCAGCTGGCACTCCTGGAACAGGATCCAGACCCGGTGAGAATGAGTACCTCACAGTTGGGGTTTACCATTAATTATGACCCTCCACAAGCTCCCATTTTGGAGGTGTTCTTTCCTGCAGAGTTGTTTGTATTTACTCAGTATTTTCTTTGATTTAACATATTTTAATACACTTTCAATGCCTGCTCATGCCTCACAGCTGTAACTTCCTTACGAATGGCTATTGGTGAAATCCCTGTAAGAGGTTTCCTCTGTGATGGCATATACATCACTAAGATGATAGAAGACCTGAGAATATTCTATATATGGGTAGAAGAGAAAGCAATGTGAACTCTTAAGCCTATGCTACATATAGGTCCTCTCGCTCAAAAGTGCAATAAGGATAGTCAGTAGTTTTTTGACACACTCAAATAGTTTTCTGGTTTTCCTCTCACATTAGGCGCCACTGCAGTGCCACAAGGCCAAGCAACTGGGAGTGTGACAGGTGAGCCTGGGAGAAACCCAGTTTTCTTCCTCATTTTAAGTGAATGGAATGTCTGTAGAGGGTGCCTTACATTGGAAATATTGCAATTTTTACTACTTTCTTAGTGATGTGGATTATAGGAAAGGTATATGATTGTCAACTCATCAGGAAGTAACGAAAGGGCCCTTTGATATAACAGATACACTTAGACTTCTTTTAGAGGCAGGTCTTTAGGAGCTGTATAGGAGTCACCAAGAGTTGCCTTTGAAGATCTCAGAACTTTTGTGTTTCAGGCACCACTGGCCCAGCTGTTGGCACAACTGTTGCACCTGGCAGTTCCAACACAGGTAAGTCAACAAGGTGGCAGGGAAACTTTCAGATGAGATTTCTCCTCTGTTGTTATCCTGTGTAGCAGAACTACCCTAACTTTCAGTGGTCCTCAAATAATTTTCAATGATCTCTATCTGCTTTTCCTCTATATTTGGGGCCAGAGCTTCTGTAAAAGATGGTGGAATAACAAGAGGTTGTTTGTTTGTTTTTTCCCTTCTCTTAGAAGCCACAACTTCCACAGGAGGCAGTAAGGCTACTCAGGGAAGATTGCCAGGAGGTAAGCTTCTTAGTCCAAAGCCCAGGTAATTGATGACAAACTTTTACAAAGATGAAGCATCATCTGCCCTTTTCTTCCTTTAGGCACCTCTGTCACACCTGGGAGTCCAGGGACTGGAAGTGGGACAGGTGAGGGTGACATAAGACCTCCTTTCTCTTTCACTAGGATCTTGGCAAAGGGAACTCCAGTAGCTACAATGATCCATAGATGGGCAATGAAGGACATTGTGGAAAGTTATGGACAGTTATGTTCCCTCTGAAACAGAGATCCTAAGAAAAGGTCTTCTGGTCATTCAAGGACACACAGCTGCTTCAGTACTGAAGAGGGAGCTAATGCTGTGTTGATGGCTTTATCTTTGTCATTTTTAGGTGCTACACAGGAATTCACTAGGATGATCATTATATCTGGGGGTTCCCACACAGATAGGTTCACAAGAAGAAATCTCCATATTTAAACCCAATATCATTGTGTCTCCACTGATAAAATATCAACATAATTCTTCTTTCATATCTCAAATCCTCATTCCTCACCCTTCACCATTTTCCTCTTTCAGAGGCTACAACTTCAACAGAAGGCAGTGGCACATCTGGAACTGGATTCAGAACTGGTGAGGAAGAGTTTAAACATTTGGGGTTCAGAACTGGTGAGGAAGAGTTTAAACATTTGGGGTTTACCATTAATGATGGCTCTTCTTAGCCTGGCCTTCTGAGAGGGGTGCTTTCCTGCAGAGTGGTTCTTATTTTCTTCCAGTTCTTTGATTTACTATATTTTGGAAAACTCTCAATATTGGCGTCCTGTCTTACAGTTGTAACTTTGTAAGGAAAGGCGGTGGTGAAATCAGTATGAGAGATTAAACTTGTGATGGCACAGACATCACTAGGATGTCATTGTGAGATGAGAAATATTATCTATATGAGGAGAGGGAAAAGCAATGTGAACTCTTAAACAGGCATATCCTATGCACGGGGGTTCTCGCTCAAAATGCCAATAATTAAAACAATATTTTTCTGGGACATTGAAATATTTTCCTGTTTATCCTTGTATGGTAGGCACCACTGTGAGGATGAGAGGTGAATGTAGGAGAAAGGCCCCTCTTTAACCAAATTTGACTGAATGGAATTTCTGGGACAGTTTCTCATGCTGAGAACATTACTGTTTTTATTGCTTTCTTCCTGATGTTGGTCATATTAAAACCAGATTCTCACCTCATCAGGAAGTAGAGACAGGGCCCTTTGCTATAACAAAGATACACCTAGAACCCTTCTGGAGGGAGGACGTCAGGAGAAGGACAGGACACATGTTGATGATCTCAGACCATTTATGTTCGGGCACCACTGAAATAGCCCTTGGCACATCTGTTGCTTCTGGCACTTCCAACATAAGGGAGGCAACAGGGTGACATAGGATTTTCTCATGCACTCTCACAGGTTAGTTCTCTGCATTGATATTATTCCTTGCGGGACTACCACCTTGTATTTTCAGTGATACTGAAATATTCTTTCATTACCTCTTTTCCACCCCATTTCCCCCAGTGGCCACAACATTCATAGTTGCTCAACTAGAATTTGAATAGACACAGGGGAGTGCTGCTAAGCTAATACCTACATTTCATGATAACCTGCTTAAAGCAATCTTCCAAAAATTTTTGACACTATATATATAAGTTCAGGTTTTTAAAAGATAAGCTAGTCATTACATTGCCACCTTATTGCCTGAGCCTACAAGGGCCTTTAGTAGACAACCATGAGTCTAAGCAATGACAAATAAATCGGAAGTATAAAGAGAGATATTTCTCTCTTCTTGCTATAAAGAGACATAATAGCTGAGAACTCAGTAAAATGGTTACAGAAAAAAAATGTTATGTGAGTCATGTAAGGATGAATTCTTATCACTAAAAGTCACATGGTTATAGTTTGGTATTACATGAAGATGTAAATTTTTATTTAAATCATGTGGTGAAAAAACAATTGAGCTAGGACCACCACTATTTCTTCTTGTAAGTAATTCTGATAAAGTCTCTGTAAAACCTCTTGAACAAGGAAGATATGTCACAGGCAAATCTGAAAATAAAGTAAAATCTTGACATTGGCAGCTTGTATAATCTATTCTGACAATAGCCAAGTGTGTCCTTTCCCACCACCTAGTCTTACTCCTTTCCTTCTTTTCTCTATCAGAGGCTACTACTTCCACGGAAGAAAGTGGGACTACCCAAGCAGGACTTGTAGGAGGTGAGTTTTATTTTAAACTGATTCTCTGGCTTTTTGAATCAAATCCCTCTTGTGTGGTAGAGTAAACACTTGAGAGGGAAGGTGGGCAAAGGAAATGGGCCTGTATTCCCTCTAGGAACACAGCATGCCAGAGACACAAACTTACATAAGCCTGAAAACAATATTCTCATATTTCCCCATCTAAATTGCAAGGCCCAGGCCTACAGAACTAGTTCTTTCATTGACAGGTATGAGGCCACCCTGTGGCCCTGCTCCTGCCTATCAAGGCCCCAACTTTTATATATGGTTTAACATTTTCTTATAGCCTTTACTAACATCTGTCACTTTGACTTTTCATGTTTGTTGATCACTGTTGGTCTCCACTTGCTAGAATATAAGCTATGTTAGGGGAGGGATCTTTGAATATTCTGCTCACTGACATATCCAAATGCCTAAAACATTGTTACACAGAAAAGATGCTTAATAAATATTTGTGTAATAGGGAAATGTGTATTTATTTGAGGTCACTCTACTTGTGTTAATAGGTACCACAACACTTTCACCTGGAGCCAGCAGCAGTTCACAGAAAACCAAGCCAGGTAGGGACACTAAGGAAATTCACCATAGGAGAGTATTAGAGTCACGAAGTTCTCCTATAAACCTTGGAATGTCAAGAACCCTTAGATAATTGATAAATAACTATTAGAAAGATGAAGACACCATGGGCCCTTCTTTCCCTTTTAGGTACCTCTGTCGCACCAAGGAGTCCTGGGACTGGAACTGAGACAGGTGAGGGTGACATAAGGACTTCTTTCAGTTTACTGGGACCTATGTGAAAGAGAACTCCAGTAGCAACAATGTTATATAGGTGGTCAGGAGATGAAATTGTGGAAAGTCATTGACAGTTCATGGCCTTCTGAAACAGAAATCCTAAGGAAAGGTCTTCTGGTCATTCAAGGACACAAAGCTTTTTCAGTACCAAAGAGGGAGCTAACGCTGTGTTGATGGCTTTATCTTTGTCATTTTTAGGTGCTACACAGGAATTCACTAGAGCAATCATTATATCTCAGGGTGCCCACACAGATAGGTTCACAAGAAGAAATCTCCATATTTAAACCCAATAACATTATGTCTCCACTGATAAAATATCAACATGATTCTCTCATACCTCAAATCCTCACTCCTCACCCTTCACCATTTTCTTCCTTCAGCGGCTACAACATCAACAGAAGGCAGTGGCACATCTGGACCTGGATTCAGAACTGGTGAGAAAGAGTTTCTGCAGTTGGGGGTTTACCATTAATGATGGCTCTTCTTAGCCTGGCCACTGGGAGGGATGCTTTCCTGCTGAGTGGTTCTCATTTGCTCTGAGTTCTTAGATTTACCATATTTTGGAAAACTCTCAATATTGGCTTCTAGTCTTACAGGTGTAACTTTGTAAAGAAAGTCTGGTGGTGAAATCAGTATGAGAGATTAAACTTGTGATGGCATAGACAACATTAGGATGTCAGTGTGAGATGAGAAATATTATATATCTTAGAAAAGGGAAAAGCCATGTGAAATAAACAGGCATATCCTATGCAAAGGGGTTATTGCTCAAAATGCCAATAATGATATCAATATTTTTCTTGGACTTTGAACTACTTTTCTGTTTATCCATGCAGGGTAGGCACCATGTGAGGATGAGACATGAACTCCTATTTAGGAGAAAGGCCCCTCTTTAACCATATTTGACAGAATGGATTTCTGGGACAGTTTCTCATGCTGAGAATGTTACTGTTTTTATTGCTTTCTTACTGATATTGGTCATAGCAAAAAGAGATTCTCGCCTCATCAGGAAGTAGAAACAGGGCCCTTTGCTGTAACAAAGATATACCTGGAGCCCTTCTGGAGGGAGAAAGTCAGGAGATGGACAGGACACATGTTGAAGATCTCAAACCTTTTGTGTTTCGGGCATTACTGGAATAGCCCTTGACACAGCTCTTGCTCCTGGCACTTCCAACATAGGGTAGGCAACAGGGTGACATAGGATTTTCTCATGCACTCTCACAGGTTAGTTGTCTGCACTGATATTATTCATTGCGGGAATACCACCATGTATTTTCAGTGATCCTGATATATTCTTTAATTACCTCCTTTCCACTCTATTTCCCCCAGTGGCCACAACATTCAAAGTGGCACAGCTAGAATTTTAATAGACACAGCAGGGTGGTGCTGAGGTAACACCTACATTTCATAACAACCTTCTTAAAGCAATCTCCCCAAAATTTTCTACACTATTTATATATGTTATGTTGGGAAAATGCAGATTTTAAAAAGATCAGGTGGACATTACATTGCCTCCTTATGGCCTGATCTTGCAAGCCTTCAGTAGACAACCATGAATCTATTCAATGACCAATACATAGGTAGTATATAGAGAGATATTTCTATGTTTCCTCCATGAAAAGAGACATGATAATTGAGAACTCAGTAAAATGGTTATAGAAAAAAAATGTTGCATGGGGCACTTTGGATGACTTCTTGGCAGTACAAGTGACAGGGATATAGTTTGCTATTACATGAAGATGTATGTTTTTATTTGAATCATGTGGTGAAAAACAATTGAGCTGGGATCACCATCATTTTCTTTTTGTAAGTAATACTGATAAATTCTCTGGAAGAACTCTGGAACCAGGAAGATATGTCACAGGCAAATCTGAAAATATAGTAATACTTGACATTGGCAGCTTGTATGATCTATTCTGACAATAGCCAAGTGTGTCCTTTCCCACCACCTAGTCTTACTCCTTCCCTTCTTTTCTCTATCAGAGGCCACTACTTCCACCGAAGGAAGTGGGACTACCCAAGCAGGACTTGTAGGAGGTGAGTTTTATTTTAAACTGAATCTCTGGGGTTTTGAATCAAATCCCTGTTTGTCTGTAGAGAAAACACATGAGTGGTTAGGTGGGGGAAGGGAATGGGCCTGTATTTCCTCGGGGAACACAGCATGCCAGAGTCACAAACTAAGATAAGCTTGAAAACCATATTCTCATATTCCCCATCTAGATTGCAAGGCCCAGGCCTACAGAGCTAGTTCTTTGATTGGCAGGTAGGAGGCCACCCTGTGGCCCTGATCCTGCCTATCAAGGCCCCAACCTTTATATATGGTTTGACATTTTCTTATAGCCTTACTAACTTCTGTCACTTTGACTTTTCATGTTTGTCGATCACTGTTGGTCTCCAGCTGGTAGAATGTAAGCCACATTAGGGGAGGGATCTTTGAATATTCTGTTCACTGATATTCAAATGCCTAAAATATTATTACACAGAAAAATGCTTAGGAAATAATTGTGGAATCATGAAATGTGTATTTATTTTGAAGCTCACACTACTTGCTTTAATAGGTACCACACTTTCACCTGGAGCCAGCAGCAGTTCACAGACAACCAAGCCAGGTAGGGTCACTAAGGAAATTCACCATAGGAGAGTATTAGAGTCACACATTTCTACTTTAAACCTTGCAGTGTCAAAAGCCTTCAGGTAATTGATGTCGAATTTTTACAAAAATGAAGCATCTTCTGCCTTTTTCTTCCTTTAGGCACCTCTGTCACACCAGGGAGTCCAGGGACTGGAAGTGAAACAGGTGAGGGTGACATAAGACCTCCTTTCTCTTTCCCTGGCATCAATAAAATAGGAAACTCCAGTAGCAACAATGGTCCACAGGTGGGGCAGGGAAGGACATTGGGGAAAGTTATGGACAGTTAGTTAACTTCCCTCTGAAACAGAGATCCTAAGGATAGGTCTTCTGGTCATTCAAGGACACACAGCTGCTTCAGTACTGAAGAGGGAGCTATGCTTCCTTGATGCCTTTATCTTTCTCATCTTTAGGTGCTACACAGGAATTCCCCAGGACAACCATTATACCTGGGAGTTCCCACACGTATAGGTTAACAAGAAGAAATCTCCATATTTGAAACCATAATATAGATATTAGGTCTGCTCTGATAAAATATCAAATAATCTTTTTCCTAATATTCCAATTCCCCTGACCTCACCCTGCACTAATTTCTTCCATCAGAGGCCACAACGGTAACAGAAAGCAGTGGCACTTCTGGAAGTGGATTCAGAGGTGGTGAGTAAGAGCTCCTGCAGCTGGGAGTTTAATGTTAACTATGACTATTGTTACCCTGGCCTGCTGGGAGGTGTGCTTTCCTGCAGAGTGGATCACACATGCTGCCAGTTCTTAGATGTAACATATTGTGGAAAAGCTCTCAACACTGGCTTCTAGTTGTTCCAGTTGTAACTTTCTAAAGTGGGGCTGGTGTTAGAATCAATATGAGAAGTTTATCCTGTGATGGCATACACATCACTAAGATGTTAGGAGAAGCTGAGAAATATTTTGTATCTGGGTAGGAGCCTAAACAATGAGAACTTTTAAACAGGCCTATCGAGTGAAATTCTCTAGGCCAACTATTATACCTGGGAGTTCCCACACAGATAGGTTAACAAGAAGAAATCTTCATATTTAACCCCGTACTGTAGTTAGTATTCTTGTTCTGATCTAATCTGTCAATAATTTTTTCCGTAATATCCCAAATCCTCTGACCTTACCATTCATCATTTCTTTCTTCAGCTGGCACTCCTGGAACAGGATCCGGACCCGGTGAGAATGAGTACCTCACAGTTGGGGTTTACCATTAATTATGACTCTCCACAAGCTCCCATTTTGGAGGTGTTCTTTCCTGCAGATTAGTTTGTATTTACTCAAAATTTTCTTTGATTTAACATAGTAGCAATAAACTGTCAATGCCTGCTCATGCCTCACAGCTGTAACTTCCTTATGAATGGCTATTGATGAAATCCCTGTAAGTGTTTTCCTCTGTGATGGCATATACATCACTAAGATTATTGAAGACCCGAGAATATTCTATATATGGGTAGAAGAGAAAGCAATGTGAACTCTGAAGCCTATGCTACATATAGGTCCTCTTGCTCAAAAGTGCAGTAATGTTAGTCAATATTTTTTACACACTCAAATAGTTTTCTGGTTTTCCTCTCACATTAGGCGCCACTGCAGTGCCACAAGGCCAAGCAACTGGGAGTGTGACAGGTGAGCCTGGGAGAAACCCAGCTTTCTTCTTCATTTTAAGTGAATGGAATGTCTGTAGAGGGTGCCTTACATTGGAAATATTGCAATTTTTACTACTTTCTTAGTAATATGGATTATAGGAAAGGTATATTATTGTCAACTCATCAGGAAGTAGTGAAAGGGCCCTTTGATATAACAAAGATACACTTAGATTCCTTCTAGTGGCTGCTCTTTAGGAACTGTATAGGAGTCACCAAGAGTCGCCATTGAAATCTCAGAACTTTGGGTTTTAGGCACCACTGGCCCAGCTGTTGGCACAACTGTTGCACCTGGCAGTTCCAACACAGGTAAGTCAACAAGGTGGCAGGGAATCTTTCAGATGAGATTTCTCTTCTATTGTTTTCCTGTGTAGCAGAACTACCCTACCTTTCTGTGGTCCTCAAATAATTTTCAATGATCTCTATCCTCTTTTCCTCTATATTGGGGGCCAGGACTTCTGTAGAAGATGGTGGAATAACAAGAGGGTTTTTTTCCCCCTTCTCTTAGAAGCCACAACTTCCACAGGAGGCAGTAAGGCTACTCAGGGAAGATTGCCAGGAGGTAAGCTTCTTAGTCCAAAGCCTAGTGCTATCTATCATCCTTTGTCTATTTGGCTTGCTGCAGTGAACAAATGAATAAGAAGGAGTGTCATGGAGGGACCTGCATTGTCTCTGAAGCCATATTGTGTGATATCAACCTGATAATTATTTTGCTTGGGAACTCCAAAACCTCAGATGTCTCAGCCAGTCTGTCCTCAGTGTTCTGGCTTACAGAGATGTTCTCTGCCGCTCCCCACCCCCTTGGAAAAAAAATGATATAAATGTATATTGCCGATATCTCACCCCCCTATTACTTCCAATCCTCCTTACCCCAGTAGCTTGCCAATTTCTATTCCCTCTCTCATTTACTTATACATAATATTTATTGTTTATTTTTTATCTCTCCATACTAGAGAGCTCCATGACGGCAACTTGCTTATCAAAATGCTCTAAGTTATATAAAATATTATTACTTATAAAGATCAAAACCATACTTTATTTTCTTCCTTACACACCTCTGGCACACCAGGTGCATCTGTCCCTAAAAATGAAATAGGTAAGGGGCATTTAAAAACCTGTTGTGACATTTAATTGCCACATAGTGACAGGGAAACCTGGGAAATAAAATACTTTGAAGTTACTCATTTTTTATTTTCTTCAGAGAAGACTATCTTCAGGAAAGGGCTTCCAATGTTTTAGGGCCACATTGGTGCTGCCAAGATGAACTGTGGAGGAAATACTCTATTGTTCCATTCTATTGTTCCATTTCCATTTTGCATTTTAGGTACCACTGAAGAGTTTTCTGGAACAACTGTTACATCTGGAGGTTTTAACACAGGTAGGTTAACAAGAAGGAAATACCCCTTATTTAACCTCTCTTTTAGGGCTGCTATAATAAAATACTATTGCAATATCCCTTCCCAGTATTCCAAGTTACCAGACTGTATCATCTTTGCGTGTTGCAGGTACCACTAGGGTAGCTTCTGGCACTACACTTGAACCTGGGAGTTCAAACACAGGTGAGCCAGCAGCTGGAGAGAATTGCCCACTGTACTGTCATTGAGAAAATTATACCCTTAACTTTCGTCAGAATGCTAAATGCTCTTTAGCTCATGTTTGTCTACCTTTCCTCTTTCTTAGAAGCTACAACACACCCTAGAGGCAGTGGAACCACAGGAAGCACTACAGGTGAGCTCGCAGGCATCCTAAGCTCTCTACTTTTCAATGACATCATAGCTAATACTTTCGAGCACTAACTATTCGACATACACACTTCTCATTATTATTTCTTTTATCCCTCACTCCAAAACGATGAGGTAAGTACTATTCTTTTTACAGATGAAGACATCTGGGGCTCAGAGATATTAACCAACTTTCCCAAGGTCACACAGCAAATAAACAGCAGATTTCAACTCAGGCAGTCTGGCTCTAAAGGCCATCCTCTTAACCATGATACTATACTACCATTATACAATATCACTAGATTTCCTTATTATATGTCTAAATTTTTCTAGAACATTAAAATTTCTACAGCATCCATACATTACCCAAATAAAAATTCAACAGGCCATCAATTCTGCTTCATTTCTTTTCCTAGGAGAATCTAGTAGCCTGGTCACTGGCATTCAAATAGGTAAAGGAAAATACCTTTGTCTATTGAACATTGACCCCAGAGAAAGGAAAATTATCTTTGAGACTCCCCAACACCACCCCACATTATACTCTCCCTCCAACAAATTTATATTCAGAATGCAAATTAGAAAATGCATAAAATCACTCTGGAACAAGCTATTCCTGAAAGTGGTCTTTTTATATAATAGAGAATTTTGTAGTTTCCTAATCCTATTTAGAATATAATCTTCTTATGGGAATGAAATCACACCATGTTGCCATTCAATTTTGCTTTTAGGTTCTACTGGAGTGGCCCCTGGCAGTACCATCTCTTCTGGAAGTTCCAACACAGGTGAATCAATGAGGAAACATGTACTATAATTTCTTTCTTGGGCTAGCTCTAAAGCAACAGCACATGATACCTTTTTATTATAGGTTTCCACTAGCCCTCACTACTTCCTTTCACTCTCAGAAGCTACAGTTTCCATAGAGGGAAGCCTAACCAATGAAAGTAGAATTGGCAACTCTTGAGTTCCTGCTAATTCATAGTCTGCCTTTGCCTCTTCATGGGGATATTTGTTAGAGGAAGCGTATACTTATGAAAACCATATTATTTCTTTTGGACAAACCTTATACTATAATTCTTAACAGAGATGTCCAGAAAGGTTTCTCCTTGTGACATTCAAGCTATTACCCTGGTGTCAGATGAAGGCCATATATGTCCCTATGGTTCTCTTTAGAGAAACAGAGATGATGGAAGTAACTCTGGAAGTTTAGGTCTATCTAATTTTGGATTTCAGATAGTGTGAATTTATTCGTTGAGTATAATTAAATACATTTACACAAATGTTGTTTCTATGTCTTGTTATTAGGAGCCACCACTGGCACATCTGAGAGTTCAAGTCCTGGAAGTAAAACAGGTAAACATGAGAAAGGCCCAGAAACCTGTGATAGTTAATCCTAGGGAAACAATTTATCAAGACTGAACTATAAGCCTATGTATTTATTGTGGCCCTGAATTAAAAAATGGAGAATGCACCTCATTTTGGCAGGATAACCCAAAGAAGGGTCTTCTACTTTTGAGTTACAGTTTTGTTGTTGGTTATGCTCTTCTCAGGATGGTCAATATATCACCATTTGCATTTTCATTTTCTTTCTTCTACTTTAGGAACCACTGGTGTGGTCTCTGGCACAACAGTTGCACCTGGAAGTTCCAACACAGGTAAATCAATAATCAAATAGGGAATATAAGGAGCTTCAGTGAGGAGGTACCCTTCACGTCCCTGCCCCATCAACTCCTCCACCCAAATTCACACATTCCCTTCCATATCCTGGAGATGCCACCAAACTTTTCTCAGTTATGGGACTTACTCTTCTTTCTTTCTTTCTTTCACTTAGGGGCCACAACTTCTTCGGAAAGTGGTGGAACCACTGAGGGTGAAATGAAAATAGGTAAGCACTAGAAATCAGATCATTATTTTTCTATTCATCTTAAAGTAAATTACATTGGCTATACTAAACTTAGTGGAAATACTACTCTACCTAAATCTCTCTTCAAGCACAAATTCTCAGTATGTTAGTACTTTATCCCATGTAAATTGCCCTTTTCTTTGTATATTTGTAGTAAAATGGCATAATAGAAATTATGGCATCACTTAAGGCAAGAAAGTGCTGATGTAATCCTCTTAGTTCATTAAGAAACCCAAATTTGTTCAAAATTAAATCCTACTTTTAAACCAAAGGGAATTTACAAATTGATTCTCTCCTCTTGTGATTTCAGTTACCACTGAGGTCACTACTGGCACAACAACTGCACCTGGGAGTTCCAATGCAAGTGAGTGATGAAAAAGTTGAAGAGCCACATGATCTTTACAGACCTGGTGTCTGCCATAGGAATTGTACATAAAGTAATGCTATTGCAGATTTTTAAAAAAATTTCTGTATCCCATGCCACTCTCTCCTATTTCTTCTCAGAGACTACAACTTTTACGGAAGTTGAAACTACCACTGGAGTTGGAATGGTAACTGGTAAGTGGTTTGCTCTTTCAGCCTTTTGGTACTCAATAATTTTCTGTTTGAGTTTGTGGTAGATGATAAATGAGTGAGAAGATGGCTGAGATAGGGTTTTGTATTCTATTTGAAGAAACAATATGTCAGATCAATAACACTTGGACCTTGTTGTCAGACTTATTTTTTTCCATACACCAGCCTTTTAGATGTGAGTTTATGAAGCCAAAAATGATGTATTACTTTCAATCTTTTATTTATCTTGCCTTTGCAGGTACTACTACAGGGTCTGCTGGAGCTTCCAGGGGCCCAGGGAATACCAGTCCTGGTTAGTAGATATGTTTAGTTCATATTTCTTGGGCTTTTCTTACCTAGGTTAGCTCCCTGGTTTTTCCTAGAAAACATCCTATACATGTAATTCTCTAGACACATTATTTTATTTTTTTAAATTTATTCTTTTTTTTTTGGTTAAGGAATTCTACAACAATATTAGTAATAGTTATCAGTAGCCAAGAAGGTAGTAGAGATCACTACAATAGATGTTAGTAAATTTGTAAATTAAGGTCTCGATTGAGATTCCTTATCCTTGATCACAAGTTTAGAAGCAATTAAAAAAAATTTATTTTTTTAAATTTGTTTGTTTCCTTCCATTGGAGAACAAGAGAGATAAGTCACTGGAAGAAAATCATGTGACTATAAGACAAACATTCCCTAATTTAGTAATTAGATTCTAGATGATTCTAGATCTAGAGAAATAAAATGTATGAGGAAATTAGGACTTTTACTTCCATAATTTTTTGACATGCAAGCATTAGAAAGTGCATTGAACAATATGCATGGCTTAATATTTGGTGCAAGAACAATTGTTAAACTGCTCTCTATTACTTAAGAGAAACAGGAACACTTGTGAATATCACACTCTTCTTAGGGCAAGAAAGCCTTTGCAAGGCTCATCCTTCCCTTTTACAGGTGCCACTGGGATAGCCTCTAGAATCTAATTACTAAATTAGAGGAGTAGAGGTTAAAATTCAGCCCATATCCCTATAACAAGGTGAAAATTCATGAGGCCTCATCTGCCCAAAGGGATGTTTATTGTAATTCACAAAGGTACCCTATGGATGAGCTGCAACATTGGCCCAGACTTTCATCTGATTTACTTTCTCTCTTGTTGTTGATCTTTGAAAAATAGTCATAAGACGTGCATCTGAAATGAAATGTTCTTCATTTTCCTTTGTAGCTACTACTGTAGTATCAAGTGGAAGTACTGGTGGCCCAGAAAGTTCCAGTCCAGGTAATAGAAATGACTGACTGAAATAAAGTTTACATGCTAAACATTCTTCTCCCTTAACACCCAAGTGTTTCAGTTATCCAATATTTATCCCTTTGAATGAGTATCCAACTTGAACTTTAAAAGAAAAATTGTTCCAGATGGACTTAAATAGGCAAGAAATACTTTATATAAGACTAGAGGCCCGATGCATGAAGATTCATGCAGGAATGGGCCTTCCTTCCCCTGGCTGCCGGTACTGCCTTTGCGCTGGCTGGAGCCTCTTTTCTGCCTTCCCACGCTGTCCAGAGGCCCGGAGCAGCTGGGATGGTGTGGAAAGCCTGCATCTGCTTGGGGCCTGTGTATGCAAATTAACCCACCATCTTTGTTGGGTTAATTTGCCTACGCATGCCTGATTGGCTGGTGGGTGTTGCAGAGGTATGGTCAATTTGCATCTTTCTCTTTTATTAGTGTAGATTATTGCAATAGGGTCAATGCCAGTGCAATAAGGGTGAGATTTTGAACTCAACTCTGCTGAAACTAAAGGCAGAAGTTTTTTTTAAGTGTTGGGGTGAAATGGTGGAAAAGTACTGGAGGGCAGGCCATTAGGGGAGAGGTTGGTCTAAATGATTAGGCCATGGATGGTTGCTAATTGGTACTTATAGAATGAAAGTAGGCTCCTACCTTCCCACAGAGACAGGGAGATAAGGGTGCTATTATTCTTGATGATTACATGTCAAGGGGGTGGCTCTCAGGTCTTTGAAAAAGATTCCAGGATTTTAAAACTGGCCAGAGCTGAAGGAATATTTGCATCTCAGAGAAATAACTTATAATTGCAAGTTTTTTAAAAATAAAGGCTCTAAGAAAAGGGAGTCCAGGGACCTGTAGTCAGGAAGAAGCATGCCTGAAGTTTGATCAGGCTGAGGGAAATGTTAAGTCCATCTTAATAAACAGAGATGTTTTCTCATTTTCTCTCACTCTACTATAACTTCTGTCCCGCCAAAACTGCTACAGGATAACCAAGAAACCAAGTTATAGGAAATAAAACAGTCAAGTGCGGAAAAAGTTTTTGTCACTTAGAGAAGGAAATTCAAGTGAAATTTACCAGGATCATAGGAAAATATTCATTTCTGTGAGCAAGGAGCTGCTGAGATAGAAACCTCTTCTGGTTCAATTGCAGGAGCCTTAGTATATGCATGAGAACATGCCAGGTGCTTTGAGACTTTGTTCCATGTAGAGGTGTCTCGGGACATGTTCTTTTGAGCCCAGAGAAAGCTCATTGCTCTTTTGCTGCTCATTTTAGGTACCTCCCAGGAAGCATCTGAAACGACCATTGCTTCTGGAATTTCTACCACGGGTAAGCCAAATAATAATAAACAAACTTTGCTTGGTGGCATCTCAGAAGACAGGATAGGTTACCAGAAGTTAAACTCTATCTTCTCCCGTCCACTGTATGCACCATGTTTGTCCCTCCCTTAGTGGTCACTGCTTCCACAAGAGTCAAGGAAACCTCTGGAACTAGAACATAACCATATGAATGCTGGCAATACATACTCGTCGCTGAGCAGTGTGCCTGTGATTACATATAAGGAGCTGAGTTTGGGGGAGAGGCGTGGTGGAAAAGAAAAAGGAGAGAGGCCAGGAAGTTATGCTGAATTTCCTTTTGGAATATGACTTTGAAGCTCAACTAGGTGTGTGTTTTTTTCTAGGACTTTTTTGGTTAGGCTTTCACCAGAACGCCTTTCCTAAAGACATAGTTATAAAGCTCTTAGTTTGAAATCTCTGAGTAGGAGATTATGAAATATGCTATTCCTGTCAAATGGAATACTAACAAACCCCGAAGTGTCCTAGCCAGATTAAATGAAATGACCCAAATGTACTGGAATGAACTGTCTATTCTACACAAAGTTTTCCTTGAGCATGAATGTGTGTGATCATTTGTACACTCATATACTAGTACACAGAGGCTTGATGTGCATACATGTTATTCTGATAAATAAAATGACAATGCCATCCTCTTATTTCCCCTCAGAAGCCACTGCAGTAGCAACAGGAGATCAAGAAACTAAAAATAAGGCAGGTCAGTATGGGGAAAATCCTAATTTCCTTATTATTCGGGAGAGATTATTATGGGCACCAAAACTATCTTTACAGTATGTTTAATGCTAACCCATAAACATGTACAGCATTGGCATGCAAGCATTATTTATTTATAGCTAATACTTTAGAGCACTAACTATAAAAAATCATTAAGTAATTATAATTATCTATCTCATAATTGTACAGCAATTATGGTCTCAGGAGTGGAGAGTGTTAATACCCATCTATTAGTTGGTACTATTGAGTGAAGGGATCACAAAGGATCTGATTGAGTTTAATATTGGCTAGAGTGAGAAGGGAATTCTACCAAATAGCCCTTGAGAAGACAGAGACATGAAATAGCATGAGTGAATTCAGGAGTCAACCAGATATTGGTGATGACTGTGTGAAGTTCAGGGAAGAAATGGTATCAAAAAGGTAAGTAGAGGAAAGTTCATGAAGGACCTTATTTCCAAACTTAAACAAGACTTTAATCCAGTGGTTCTCAACCTTGGCTGCACATTAGAATCACCTGGGAATCTTTTTAAAATCCTGATTTCTAGGCCTCATTCGATGAGACCCACTGGTTTGATCCTTACACTAACTGGGATCTCTATTAGACTTTTATTAAGAGAATAATATGATCAGATAGGTGTTTTAGAGAAAGTACTCTGATAACAAGGTGGAGATTAGGAAATTGTTCTTTATTTTTTTTCTTATGAATATCTTCAATGAACTTTTGGAATTCTGGTTCAGGGAAAATTTTTTCTGCTGTATTTATGCCCCATAGATCATTACTCTCTCCTGCTGCTGGTTTCTGTTAACCTGCCAAACTTTTTTAGTTCGGGATTAGCCTCGCCTCCCTCAGTAAAGAGAGACACTTGATCCCCCAAACTCCCACATGTTTAATTTTCTTTCTGTTTTTCTGTACCTATTATTTGTTGGCATCTCTCTACCTAAACATGCAGAAATTTTAAGTTCCTCTCAAATATTCTCTTGCTTCTAGGCCAGACATTTTACCTGATAGGTAGAACAAAAGTATTAATCTGATTATTAATTGTTTGAAAATAGAATTTGAATTTATCAGGTAATTGTTGGGTTGACTAAAATATGTGATGTGCAAAGCCTCAGAAAGAAACATATGACCAGTTTAAAGTATTTGGTTAGGGTAGAGATAGAGCAAGATTGAAGTAGTTCAAGAAGACAAAAAGAAGATAAAAGTTTTTAAAGGATTAAATAAGTTGGTAATTACAAATACATTTCTCAGATATATGAGTTATTCTTTTTCTATTTTTCATTAAAAATATTTTTATGGATTTCAGAGAGGAATGGAGAGGGGGAGAGAGATAGAAACATCAATGATGAGAGAGAACCATTGATTGGCTGCCTCCTGCACACCCGCTACGGGGGATTGGTCCACAACTTGGGCATGTGCCCTTGACCGGAATCGAACCTGCAATTCTTCAGTCTTCAGGCCAATGCTCTATCCACTGAGCCAAGCCGGCTAGGGCTTCTTTTTCTTTTTGATTATGTATTTTATTGTTGTTTTCATCAGAATTGTCTCCAAAGAAAATTTTGAAGAGAAGTTTACCTTGATGGCTTATCATTTCTCCTTTAGATTCTCATATGCCTGCCATTAAATTGGAGATCCAAAGGGAATACTCTCTAATGGTGGAATTTCAAATGCCTCGAGGAGCAGAAAGGGAAAATAGACAGGAATGTGTCTGTTTGTACGGCTAGCAATGTAGCCACTTACTTTCAGTAATAAGATAACTCTACTTACCCCGAAACTATTCTAAGGACTTTAGGGACTAATCTGAGCTGTCTGTTCTTACACAGGCTGTCCAGCACCACTTCCACCACCTCCAGGTAAGAATACCTGCACTTGAAAAGCAATCATTCTGCATTGATATTTAGATGAGAAACTGGGTTTAAGGGCAAAATAATACAATCTGTTCTGTGCACATTGAGTTTAAGGTTCTTACAGATTGGCCAGCATGCTATTTATTAGACTGAATGAGATCTGGGTCCATCTCACACATGATGTCTGGACTGGAGCTAGAAATTTGAGAGTTATCTACTTAACGTTATAGTGGACACTGTGGAGAGAGAGGAGGTATCAGGGGAAAGACTAGAGAAAGAGCTGATAGAGGAATTTCAGAGTGTTGAATCTGAAAGAAGAATATTTTCAAGATGAGAGTTACAAGTGTTAGCTATTGCAGGGAACTTAAAAATCTGAGAAGGCCCTTGAAACTGGTCATTATAAAGTCTAAATTTCCCCTAAGAGAAATTTAGAATTCTCATTTCCTGGGGTTTCTAAAAAATAGGAAATATATGCTTTTTCGAGACAATTTGCTCAAAGTAGGTGGATATGATTTTTCCACTTAAAGGCACCATAATCCTCCATAATTCTGTGTCTCTGAAATCGTAGTGCTAATTACACTATTGGCCACCTGGTGGTTACCTACAAGTAACAGATGGTTATATTTTGCCAAATTTAATTAGCGTTTATCATTTCATGTTAACAGTTTGCTATGGTCCACTGGGAGAAGAGAAATCAGTAAGTACATAGTTCTTCTTCACTTTAATCCAAATTTGCTGTCATTCCTGTATTGGAGTAAAAGTCTAAACTTGGTTTGTTTCTGTAGCCTGGAGACACATGGACTGCTAATTGCCACAGATGCACCTGTACCAATGCTAATGCGGTGGACTGTAAACCCAAGGAGTGCCCTTCTCCCCCCACATGCAAAACTGAAGAGAGGCTTGTAAAGTTCAAAGATAATGACACCTGCTGTGAAATTGGATACTGTGGTGTGTATTCATAATACATTATTTGAATTGAATTGAATTGAATTGAATTGAATTGAATAGTTGTTTACTTACATATCCAAGAGATATTTATTGAGCTGCTAATATGTGCCAAACACTATGCAGGATAGGTGTGATAAATAAAACAGAATCAGTAGTTTCCCTCTTAAAATTTACTATCTTTGTAATGGGGAAACCTAAAATTAACAGCTATGAATATAAGCAGTAGATTAAAGAGTTATGATGATGTTATGGGAAGAACATTATGATTGGCTGATAAATACTATCCCATTTACAATTTCTGTTTTATAAATAAAAATAATTATAATGTTTACTTTAGGATAAAATAATATATTTGTTTTTCAGAACCAAGAACATGTTTATTTAACGATACCAACTATGAGGTAAGGTCGTTTTCTACTTTATCCTATTTTTATCAATATAATTATGAACAAATGCAGCCTTTTTCAGCTTATGACATGAAAATTTCATAGTCAACTGTGGGGAGGAATTTTTTCCCCTATTTTCAATTTTCAAAAGGAATGTCAAATGTAACACTCAGCATGGCTCCCTTCAAAGGGAGAAAATATACTTGATCATTAACTACCTAGCATTAGAGCTTCTGAATAATATTTCCATGGGGCTTGCCAGATGGAGAAGATACACTTTGTAACATTCTAATCAATGAACAGAGTTAAACTGTAATTATAACCAGGAAGATCAGATGGCCAAACTGTCACAGATCAAATAAGAAAACCCCAAAGACTAGAACCCCATAATGTGAATATAGCAGTACAGGGGTGGGTTTTGACAACTGATTTGGCATTTTGGAAAGTACTTTAACATCTTAGAAAAAGTACCAGGAAGCCATAAAAACCAGATGATTCTCAAAATGACTTTAATACATTTTAACTGATGATACTAAATATTAAAAAATCTGAAATAAAGTATATGTGGTATGTTAGGAAATACATAGAAGCAAAGCCCATGAGAGTTTTAATTTGGTAACTTATTTATCACACTCAATTTTTAGTTTCTTAATTTTTAGTTTCCAAAGGTGACCTGACTTGAGAATTTATGATAGTCTTTAAACATAAAATATGATGATTATTTAAAGAACAAAGAAAACATTTACCTCTATGCATTTATATGCAAAACAATTGAAATAATAAAATTCTAGTTCGCCAGAAAGTTTATTTTGTAGTTTTAGGCCTTGAAAGAAATGCAATTTCCCAAACTGGTGTTTGAATTTCGAGCATAAATTAATTATAAAGCAATCTAGAGAGCTTTAAAAGTATATGACCTGAACCTGTATACGTTTGTTAACCAATGTCATCCCAATAAATTCAATAAAAAGAAAATAGTATAGAAACACAAGCAAAGATAGATGTTACTTGTCATTTGTGATAAACCTATTTTATGCCCTTCCCCTCCATTTGAATTTCCGATTTGTTGCCCCTTAAACTTAGAGCATAAAAACCGGTCAATTGACTGCTACAAATAAAATAACCTTTCTTGAAAACACTTAAAAACTATAACAGAGTAACTGTATGCAGATCTTAATTTGAGAACCTTGACACATTCTGTGCTATCAATGATTAACTTTGATGGAAGTAGAAGGCTTTCAATCCACCTTTTCTTAAATATTAACCTAATGGCTGAACGTGCCTCTGGAAATTCACTAACCATCATGAATTTTGATTTTTTTTTAAATACAGGTTTTATTATCAACAGCAAAAAGAAATCAAGGTGACTAATTACTTTGTTCTCTCCCCATTCCCCCTCTCCCCCAGATTGGTGCTTTTTTTGATGACCCCAACAACCCATGCGTCTCCTACTTCTGCGACACAACTGGTTTCCGTGCAGTGGTCGAAGACTGCCCCAAGCAGACCTGGTGTGCAGAAGTAAGTCATCTTCTCAAGTAGTACAACAACAAGGTTCACTTCTCATGTTCAATACAAACACAACCTGTCTTCTTTCTCATTTGGAAAAGTTTATATCTGGCCAATAGACCTCTTATAGACTTCATTCCAGATTTCTCATTGACCTTTTATTATCATGTGTATTTTTCATATCAAAGATATATTTGCAGGCTCTCTAAAATTTAATCTAGTGCTATTCTAGAAGAAGTTAGTTTCTGTGGAAAGCATATTGTTATTTTTAAGCAAACAAAAAAAAAACCTAGTTTGTTATCAAGGTTTATAGAGTCAGGTTAATAATTTTCTATAAAAATACAAAAATTTCATGTAACTCCATGTGTCTACTGTTCAGAGTTTTCTTAGTGACACAATCTTTATTTTTATGGTGCTCCAATGTGGTGAGAATTTTGAATTAATAAATACTTAAATGTAAGTTAAGAAAGGTTTAAGCTTATTTTTCTTTCTGAAGATATAATTGATAATATAGTTCAAAGCTTTATTTTAGAACTTTAATATTGGACTTCCACATTTATTGCATTTTTATCCTGAGACATTGATAAGTTTAAGAGAATAATAATGTGTGAGGTAAAAATTCCTGCCTGTGAGAAACTTACAGTGTCTGGTAGTAATATCACTGTTAAAGTATTTTTCAATTACATTAGTAAGGGGTGTTTTTTTTATTCCTTTGCATTTTATTTTAAAGAAAATTTCATTTAAGTATTGTTTTTCCCTTTCAACCCACTGTTGCAAAAATTAGTGTAAATACTGTCTCATTTTTATTACTACTGTCTCCCATCCGTGCTCCCTGAAACTGAGCCTAAGGTTTTCATCTGTTCCATTTTCTCCCCTTGAAATAATATTTCAATAAGTTAAAAAATGTTATATTATTTATAGAAAATTTCAGTCTTTTTTCTTTTTCTCTCACCCATATAGGCAGACCGAGTCTATGATTCAAAAAAATGTTGCTATAAATGTAAGTAAAATTAAGCTCCACATGTAGAGGCAATATAAACTGTTGAAAAAAATTAGCTTCTTTAAACAAAATGGCAGATCATTAAAAGAAAGTTTCATGTGTTTTTAACACAATAGGTATTCTAATCTATATGCATAAACTGACAATGGATATTTGCACATAATATACAATAGTTACTTATTCGTGTTGGTTGTAATAAAACTAGTTATGTTTACAAGGAAAAAATAATTTTCATGGAAAGAAATTTAGCTTGCTCTCATCTAACATCAGCAGGTTATGTTGTAAATTGATATATTAAATCATAAGAATGATCAGCAATGAGAAAATAAATAGATACCAAAAATAACCATGCCCCTCTGTCTTCCTTTCCCTCCCCCTTTTCTTTACTCCTTCCTTCTCCCCTTCCTCCTCTTCCTTCTTTCCTCTTCTCCTTCTCCTATGGTAGGAATAATAGCAATAACAATAAGATAACATTTATTGAGTATTAGTCACTTCTGCTGGGTGCTGACATAGATAATCTCATCAGTAAAATTGTGAAGTATTTATTATTATTCTCTAATTATGGTTAAGAAAGCTGAGACTTAGCAATTGTTAATGTGAAATCTTTCTGACTCTCGGATCCATTTTTTTTTAGGTAATACCAATTGCAGATCTTCACTCGTCAATGTGACTGTTAAGTACAATGGTTGCAAGAAAAGACTTGAGATGGCAAGATGCGTAGGGGAATGCAAACAGACCATCAAGTGAGTTTTTCTTGTAACATGTACTGTATGTTAATTTTGTAACATTGTTAAGCTATGAAACTTTTAAAACATTATATAGGAAAAAAATTTAAGATTTTTTTATTGGTTGTTAGAGATAGAGGAGAGGGAGAGATAGAAACATTAATGTGAGACTGAAACATTGATTGGCTACCTCTTGCATAACCCCTACCTGGGACTGAGCCCACAACCTGGGGGCATGTGCCCTGACCAGGAATTAAACTGGCAACCTTTTGGTGCATGGGATGACACCCAACCAACTGAGCCACACTGGCCTGGGCCATGGAAAACTTTTATATGCTAGCTAATGATCAGAACCTTAATATTTAAAATATTAGAATATGAGAATCCTAATAAGTGATGAATCATTTTGAAGTAGCTTTCTCTATATATCAAATGTAATACATTTATGGCAAATGTATTTATTTTCATACAGTGATTACAGAGAGTACTTAAGCAATTACTCTTGCTAAAAGTGTATTTTTAAACTGTCACATGCATTTTAGATATAACATTTTACATTTTTTCCTTTATGTACACTTACCCATGTAAATTAATTTATAAAGAATAATGATTGGGTGTTAAACTGCATATTTTAAAATCATTTTTATTTATTTTTTTGCACCATAATGCTCTAATTATGAGATTATAAATCTCCATTTTGAATTTCTTTTCCTCTTTTTTTTATCTTACTACCACTTATCACTGATCTACATCAGAAACGTATAGCAATACAAGGTGTAGGAAAAAAAATAAATTGGTTGGGAGGCTTGGTAAATCACTTAGACAATTAGAAGTTGAGCATTGATGTCAATTTATTTCCAAAGACATTCCAAAAATATTAATTACTGGATATTTTATTTTTTAGGTACAATTATGATATCTTTCAGTTGGAAAATTCCTGCCTTTGCTGCCGAGAAGAAAACTATGAGTTCAGAGACATCATTCTTGACTGTCCTGGTGGCAAAACCTTGTCTTACAGATACAGGCACATCACAGCGTGTTCTTGCTCAGACAAGTGCCATCAATCTTCATCCTCAGCGAGCATGTAATGTTAACATTACCTTTCCAGTTGTAACAGGCGGGTATTTATTTTATAAGTGAACAAAAATCAGCACTCACTTGTGAGAATAATGAAACACTGTATCTCTATGCAAAAGTAAATTCTCATTATGAGGCATTTTGTTCTTTTGTTGACTGAATCTGGAAAAATAAATACAATTTTGCAAGCAATTCGTGAGTACATGTATTTATTTTATAGCAATAAGAATTCTTTTTTATTTTAATATGCTTTATTTCTCAAGATAAGCAAGTTCTTTGGGGGATCTTTAATTGCAGTGCTTATCTGTGAATAGGTGGCTCTAGCCAAAGGAATTCTAAGGAGAAACTGAGTCATCTCATGGCTGGTCAATAAGCTCATGTTCTACTCTCCACCTGATGAGGCCATTGTCCTGCTTTGTTCTTTCCCTTTGGTTAAACTTACTGAAAATGTAGTCTTTGTTCTCTTCCCTCACTTCTCTATGCCAGTTACATCACCTCTTTCATTCTACTACAACTCCCTCTGCTTCGGACACCAGTGGACTCCTTAAAATTCTTCCTATAGGGGCTGATATCATTTCCATTCTTCCTTGAATCCCTTTTCTCTCTCTCTCTCTCTCTCTCTCTCTCTCTATATATATATATATATATATATATATATATATATATATTTCAGAGAGGAAGGAGATATATATATATATATATATATATATATATAGATAGATAGATAGATAGATAGATATATCAATGATGAGAATCATTAATCAGCTGCCTCCTGCATGCCCCCTACTGGGGATCAAGCCCTCAAACAGGGCATGTGCCCAGGACTCTTAAGTCTGCAGGCTGATGCTCTATCCACTGAGCCAAACCAGCTAGGGCTTGAATAATTTTTCTTACTGTTTCTGTTACATCATTTTCAATTAATGCTCTACATTTTGTGGACACCTTTGTTACCATTGTAATTGGCTAGTTATTAATATTAATATAGGAGGAGAGCAAAGGGGAGGCCACACATTATAAGCATGGTCTTCTGGATAACTTCACCAGGAAGCTTCAAGTTTCACAGTCCCTACAGGGAATCCGGTCCATTCCCTGCAGATCACTAGGGCAAGGGAGCAGACAGAGGGGGAAATGTATGCATGCACAGTGAAGTCAGGATGGCATAGGAAAGGTACTTGCCTATCAGTCAAACCTGGGAACAAAGATTATTGGGTAGGGGATGAAGCACTGCAGGCATGCAAAGTCTTGGAAGGGTAAAATCCTTGAGGCAATTCTCTCTCTTGTTCCTCTTGCTTCAAACCTGCTTCCTTGCACTCACTTGTTCGTGACCTACGCTAGCCCATCATGTGGCCCTAGAAGCCACATGGGCCATGACCATGCAAACCCCCATGCAATGCAGCTGGGAACAAGCCAGATGCTGGACTGGACTGTGCAAATATGGAGTGGAAGCTCTGGGCAGTGGCTTTGATCTTAGCCCGGCTAATGGGAATTTTTAAGGCAGAATGGAGGGAGATGGGATCTTGGACACCCAGGGGTTTCATTCCACAGAAATAAAGCTTTCCACAATACCTCATCCCCCCATGGGGCCTCAGGAAATTCTTATTCCCTTGGGACCCAAGAAGCCCACTTCCATTGGCAATAGGCAGGGACACAGAGGACACCCCACAGATAACACCTTCACTTTTTCCAGTTCTTTAACTCTCAGGTCTCCAAAGTTGCATCCTATTCTTCTTTCCATTTTACTCAGGTTCCTTAGATGATTTCATCAACACAGGTAGATGTGTTTATACACTGAGGATTTCCAATCTATACGTCCAGTCCCAACCTCTTCTCTGAATGACAGACATTGACACAACTTGAAGAGAGGAGAGTGGAATCAGAGAAGTGAAAGAAAAAATGAAAAAAGGATTTATGTCACAATATCAAGAGGACCAATGTACACATTATAGGCATGCTGGAAAAAGAAGAGAGAGGGGAAGAGGCAGAAAGTTTATTCAACAAAATAATGGCTGAAAATGTCCTCCCTGTTAGGGGAGAAAAAACACTAAGCCCTCTGCCGGCCTGGTCACCCCATGCGGCCTGCTATTTGGTCATTACTGTTACTGTGATGGCATGCTGGACAATTTGCATATTCCTCTATTATTAGTATAGATTTTAATAGTATTAAATCTGAATCCAATCTGGCATCTAAATCTAACTACCAATTATAAGAACATTAAGTAAATAGGTGAGGAGAATGTAAATATTATGAAGAAAATTATGGACAAAAGCTTACTTGTTTAAATAAGTTATTCTGATGCTTAATAGGAATAAGTGCATCTCAAGAAAGAAAAAGAATGCTCATTTTATTTATGTTTCATTATAATTACTTCTTATTCTTTCATTCATTTATTCAATACATTTTATCTGAGCATCTACTATGTGGCCTGCTCTGTAAATATGCCATGAAAATATCCTGCACTAATGAATGGTTACAAGATGTAATCACAAAGGAAATAAAAGTGAACATGAAATATGGCACTGTGGCCCATCAGGAGTGGCTCAGCTGGTGAAGCATCAGCCTGTGCACCAAAAGGTTGCCTATTTGATTTCTGGTCAGGGCACATACTTGGGTCTCTAGTTTGGGTTTGATCTCTAGTTGGAGCACCTATGGAAGGTATGGCTTTTATAGTTTATTCTAATTCTAATGTATTTATTTATTTATTTGTTCATTCATTCATTTGAACTTGGCTGCTATGTGGAGAATTTATTTCAAAAGTCAAACTGAGAATTGGAAAAAAGGGCAAGAGAAGAAACATTTAAATGCCAAACCTACTATTTATATATTATGCATTCATAGGGAATAAAATCATGGCCTATACAGCCTTTGGTTTACAGACATGTGTTTTTCAAATTGTTACTCAATATAGTGTTCTTGAATTTAGATTGCAACTGAATTATGGTTGCTTGCAGATAAATATGTAAACTCCAAATTATTCAAATATCTTTGTGTTTTCTCTAAACTCCCAATTTGCATGTATTCATCTTGAAGTCAGCCATGCAACTGATGAATAGGTCATAATTCAACCAGACTCAGTCTGTATGGACTGATTGAGTGGAGAAATGTGGAATAAGGCAGTGGGCATAAATCCTGACATCCTCTCCCCAAGGAAAGTTACTATAAATTGTCTATAACTAAAACCAAAACACTTTAGATTTCCCTAGTTCTATTTTTCTATGAGTTATTTTATTGTCTGACCTGAGCCAATTATAACACTAGAGGCCCGATGCATGAAATTCATGCAAGAGTAGGCCTTCCTTCCCCTGGCTGCTGGTACCGGCTTCCCTCTGGCACCGGGACCCAGGCTGGCTTCCCTCCGGCCTGGCTTTGTCTGGTCTAATTAGCATATTACCCTTTTATTATTATAAATACTGACAAGATTGTTTAATATCTTATGCTGAAAATTGGACTAAGAATTCATTTTCTAAGTTAGACTGATTTAGAAAGGAGAAACTATTTACATAATAAAAATGATGAAAATAATAAACACCCAGAAACATTTTGTTAAGGAGGCTGGACTTGACTCTAGTGTAAAGCAGGATCCAGGTCCATCCCAAATCTCAACTTTGATTAGTAATCAACCTCAGTGATGTGACAATCAGAACATGACAGGAGGCATTCATTCTTTGTCAGGGCAATACAACAGTTTACTTCCCAGTGTTTTTACTTAAATTTATATAATTTTTAATCCTCAAATAGAGACATTTAAAAGAATTAACCAAATATAAGAAAACAAGTCCTTTCTTTACGACATTCAGCTTTATCAAAGGACAGAAGACCAGCAAATGTACATTTGAAGGACTTTAAAACTATTTTACCTACTGCCTGGACAAGCTAAAAAATTCTCTAGAGTGAGAGTGTGGTAGGTTAATGTATTTCACACTGACCCAGCAAGTAATGTATGCAATATTACTGAGAACTTTGTCTATTGACATAGCAGGGCAAAGAGGACTTCCCCTGCGGTTTACACCTTCAGAACTTTTTCAATATTCTCTGAATCATTGATGTGTATTTCTGCAGAGGTTCTTCTCTCTTCTTACCAGCAACTCGTTTTGTTTAATTAAAAACGAACAGAACGTAGACACTAATAGCAAATTAGCAAGCACTAGTGGTGATTTATAATCCAGGGTCAAATTTAGCCACAATAGTAGCAAAGAAAGAAAGTACATTTCTCATGTTAAGAGCAGAATTAGTAGGCAGTTCTCATAAATGACATGCAAATAGTTGAAGAATCAGTGTAAGCTATGTTAATGATTTCCCTCTCAATGTTATCTTGCCCACCATCTTTTATTCTTTTTAATGCAAATTTATTGACTTTTTTTTTTCTTTTTTGTGCATGCCCTTTCCTGAAGCGTTACTTTATGCTAGGTATTTTTCTCTAGTCACAATATGTGAAGGATTAGACCAGTACTTTCTTCTTTAGTCTTTTTCTGCCTATTTTCTAGTTACCCTGAATAATCGTAGTGAAGCACTTACATTTTCTTCAACATACCCTTCTATGTCATCTCTCTGTCATCATCATTTATTTTTTTTCTTTCTTACTTTGTCCATGTGAGGAATGCTAACTCACCTCCCATTGCCTGCTGGATCACAATCCCTTCTGATGAGAATGCATAAGTCCTGGAAAATAAAATTCAATATATCTAAAGATCCTTCTTCATCTGGACATAGATGAGACATAGATCTGGACATAGATTAGGATTGGTGATGAATACAACTAGCATTGATTGGATTCTCTTTCCTAGGAATTTGAATGTGGTTTACTGAGAGATTGTACAAATCAGCCGTAGACTGTGCAAAACATACCTAGAGGGGCAAAACTTGTGGTGGTCATAGGAATGAAAATTGCTCTGGATGGTTTGGCTCAGTGGCTAGAGTGTCGCCCTGTGGACTGAAGGGTCCCGGGTTCGATTTCAGTCAAGTGAACATGCCTGGGTTGTGGGCTCAATCCCCAGTAGGGGGTGTGCAGGAGGCAGCTGATCAATGATTCTCTTATCATTGTTTCTATCTCCCTCTCCCTTCCTCTCTGAAATCAATAAAAATATATTTTTAAAAAGTGAATATAATTGGTACCAGCAAGCCAGTCACATGAAAAGGGAAATAATGGTAAAGCAGAAACTAAGAAT